CGGACACCACCCACCAATTGCAGGATTTTGCATGCTGTCACTTTGTTGATCCCTTTCTCAACCAGATCCTCCACAAAGATGAACTCCTGCAGGTCCGACACGTTGTTCACACCAAGTGTAATCATCACCTCACTTACATGAGGGGTATACACCCAAAGGTGTTCGTTGCGAGCCATCCAATTTTCAATTGGCTCCACTGGATTTTGAAGCAGGGCACCAGTGGACTCTGCCACCGAATTCTTTTGTTCATCATCTTCTGCTTCATCCAGGGTACCCTTTTCACCTTCTTTTTGTGACACATTGGTCATTTGCAATGCTTGTGGTGCTGAGGACGACGAAGATCCAACTCCCCCACTTGCAGGTGGTTGAAAAGTATCCCTTCCTGAGATCTCCATTCCCCTTTCATGTTGATACCGCATCTCATTTGCCACATTCGCCAGATGCTTCAGTTGGGCTAATCGCTCACTTGACATCTCGTCGTGAGAAAATCGGCAGGTACTGAACCGCCTACGGCACTGTCCTTTGAGGTAATAATCGAAACAGCAATGTGGAACCCTGCGTCCCGCAGCGCCCTTCTGGAAGCATTGTCCCACGCCTTGCCGGGCTCCCAAGTCCCTTCCAAAACTGCACCATCATCATGAAGATACCTGCGCGAACTCCCAAACCGACAACCACCTTGACTGTAGTACAGGCACAGCCGCTTTTTCGTTTCACCCAACGTAGGCTCACCTTTTGATGCCCCTTTGCCATAGTTGTACTGGGCACGGAAGGCTGAATCCTCCCGCTCCTGCTGTACCTCATCCACTGCACCTTCATCAGTTGGAGGGCCACCGATGTCCCCATCCTCGTCACCAGTTTTTTGGTTGTTCGCTGGCTCAGTTGGCTCTCCTTCAGGCCACCCTTCACCATAACGACGATGTTCATAGGAACACCCATCTCCATTGCGACACCTCCCCTGATTGAAGAATCTGCAGAGTTTGCTATACCCTGGCGATACAGTCTTTGGCGTCATGTGAGCTTTCCTATACTGATCGGGGTCCATATAGGCTTCCATCGGCTTGTTCTCCCTTTTGCTCATAGATTCAACTGCACCATCAAGCTCCTTCAAAAACTGCTTGGTATCCAGCCACAGGGCATTCCAATCCTCATCTTTGCCTTGGCTTAGCATCATTGCCACCACCTCACCCACAACCGGTCCACTGTATCTCCTTTTCTTTCGTGCCAGTTCGTAGAGTGCATTGTGGTACAGCTTCCTGGGAAAAGTGGTTGTTTCTTCGAAGCCTGCGCATTCTGTTCCTTCAGGCTTCCACCCATCCCTTTGTAGGATGCCGTATGCTTGCCGAGCTTCACCATCCAGGAATGCACGATCTGCGACACACTCCACCACCACGTCCATTGGACGACTCAACAACATCCCAACGATTTTTCCCAAATAAGCCTTATCAGCTTTTCCATCCTCCAGAAGATCTCTATAGATCTTTTCTCCATAGAGCTGCCTTTCCTTTTGTTCTTCTGAGGATAGATCCTGAACTGCAAACCACTCATTGGGCTGCGCTTCTTCCGACTTCCAGCTCCATTGACTGTCGGAACTTTGGTACCATTGACCAGCATACCATGAATCTGTCCACCACGTACTCCAGCCGCTGTCTTTCCATTTGCGCAGCGTCGAAGAAGAGTCCTCCTCGTCCTCTTCCAAAACCAGAAAGGTGTCCAAGATCACGGTACCATCATCTTCCACCGTTTTCACTGTTCCATTGACAGTGTCCCCAAATTTGAAAGGAGATGTACTCTTCCCTTCCGCAGGAATCAATACATTCACATCGCCATGGTCCAAAAAGGCTCCATGCCCATTGATGCAGCGCACTAGACCAACGATCTGATCTCCCTCTTGATAGCAATGCTCCCCAGGTGTATCCAAGGCTCCTGCTCGGGGCACTTTCTTTGCATGCTCTTCAGAAACCATCTCTGTATCATCGGCTCCTGAAACATCCTTTGTTTCCACCTTTGGGTCACACTGCTCGTCCTGCTCCTGCGCGAGTTCCACAAGATCATCCACCTGGCTCAGGACCTTCCTTTTTTCCAGCCAATGGCTTTGCCTCATCTGTTGCAGTTCGCTCGGTGTCGACTTCCGGCGAGCTTCCAGACGGCAATACTTCGGGAGCGGACCCATCATTGGAGTCTTTTGTCACACCTTCTGCAGCAGGCAAATTTTCTTCCACTGCAGGGCTATTGGATTGCTCATCCGCGGCAGGTACATTTTCTTCCACCGCAGGCTCCTTTGGCTCCATGGTTTCCAAAGGAGAATTGCCACCATCATTGACCACAGCTGCCTCATCGGCTCCGGTGTAGCCCTTGCTATTTCGTTCCTCGCTGCTAACTTCAGGTTGCACCAGTGCGTCCACCTGTGAACCTCCGTCGTCAGCTGCTACGGAGACCTGCGCCCCATTGTTGCAGTCGTCCGTGGAACGTGACACCATATGCACCTCAACCCGTGCTTCTTTCGCACTCCAGGTACTATCTGGCACATTGACCCGCGCATCATTGGCGCTCCAGGCCTCATCTTTCAGATCTTCCGTGTCTCCAGCTATTCCAGAAGCTTCTTTTTCTCCCTGAATGGCAAGATTCTTGGCACCAAACGAAGAGACCTCCGCAGTCGTAACGCACAACTTTTTCCCTCCGTCCTCCAAATCTCCAGGATCACCTTCCTGAACGACAGGTACCACATCCACCACTCTCTCTTCTGCAGCCGACACAGTTCCAATCTCCGCATTGGGCATTTTTTCTTCTGGACCCACAGATTCCACCGCTGCCACACCCTCAGAAAGCGCTTCCATTTCTTCCCGATCCAGATGTTTTCCAGCGATGTCTGCTCGGCTTCCAGAACTCCCTTCCTCATCAGGAGAACCCGAGGTCGGGGCGTCACCACCAGCCCTAAGACCGCTATCCCTGATAGTAGAGGAAAAATCCTTTTCACCTACACTATTTACACCGCTGTTGACACTTTCCAAGCTACCCTGTTGTGCCCTGAAAGACTCAGCAGGCGACGAGGACGAAGTGGTACCCAGTGCTGGCTCTTCTTCCACAGGGACAATGCCCGTTCCAACACCAGACCCTTCACTGTTTCCAGCCATCCCAGTCTTCTTCGGCAACACCCATTGGGTATCTCCCGTGTCTAAGCAGTAAAGATATTCTCTCCCATCCTCGTGAAAATTGCGTTCCCATGTCTTCCCATCACAGTCGATGATTGGAAGGTCAGCAGCTTGAGACACTTTGCCTCCACCATCAGCGTATAAGTCGTCATCTGACTCCTGCTGTATTCTCGCTGCCTCCAATTCCAGGATTTCTCCTTCACTCATCACCATAGCAACAGGAACGACTCCTTCTGCGTCCCCAACGACGAGGATACTGCTTTTTGTCGCAGCAACAGGCGCAGTTTCTTCCGCTTCACCTGTCAACAGATCACCACTTTCAGCCGCGAAGCTCACTTTGTTGCGAGCTCGCTTGGAAACAGGGATAACATCCCCAACCAGCTCTGTCTGGCACCCTTGCTCCACCATCTTTGACGTAGAGGAGCTTGTTGTTGGCGCTCCCGTTGATTCAGCAGGTCCCGCAGCTCGAAGACAAAGCCCATGTTTACTCAGAAGGCGCAGCAAAACTGCTTCCATCTGGTCTTCCAGTCCTTCCACCACCGGCTTCTCTCCGCCACGCATACCACCAGCATCAACCAGAGCTTCCACATTGGGAACAACTTTTTCACCCGTTGCAGACCTTTTGACACCACCTTCACCTTGATCGCCCACATTGGAGCTCGATGATGCCGTACCAGTCCGTAACCAGTTGGTCGCCATGGCTTCAACTATCACCCTAAAGCCGAAACACAGACCGCAGGGAACCTAATTTGGGCTCATAACCTACGGGGGCAACCGAAAGGGAGAGGAAACCAACCCCAACAGTCACCAGAAATTTCACCCTGAACCAACCAGCAAACAACAGGAACTCAAAACTTCTTTTTGCTACCAGGCGCATGGCCCAGTCTTGAGCCATGAAGATCAGCAGGTACATTGACCCTTCAACTTCCAACACCAACTCCTTTCTACAATACCAACTGCAGCTCCGCACCGTGAACGCCCTCGTTTGTTTGTGAGGATGAAGTGAATGGCATTTTCCAGACCCTGCAAGAACGAGCGGCCAAAGCAGAAACGATCATTGATGAACGTTCGGTTTAGGTGTTTCGATGTGTTTCACCATGCTGGCATCAGCTTGAAGTTTGAGGTGGCATCCTGGCTGCGGCAGCTTTCCTTTTCCACAAGCGCGAGATAAGGCTGAAACAGGCCAATTGTCTTGTTTCGGTTGAGCTTTAGGAACAGGGGGGCCGTTGAAAAATTCGCCATGGGACTAGAAGCTTTTCGAGCTTGTTATTAGGGAGACGGCTTGTGGAACCAATTGAAATTTTCCGACCTGCTCGAGGATTTGGAGTTTTTGCGATCGATGGCGACAACCAGCCGCTTGGCTTGAAAACGAAGAACACGTCAGTTTCAAAAAACCCAATGCTTGGGGTGTGTGGGATGCAGTACTCTTTCGCATGGTCAGACATTGTCCCACCTCTTTTGCAAAAGCTTCTGAAGCTTCTGAAGCTTCAGGTGTGGAGACCGCTTGTGCAGAAGCACAGCGGCAGGGCAAGATCTTCGCACAGCTTAGTGGAGAGAGTTACACCGACGAGCCGTTGACGAGCCAGGCTTGTTGGAGCATAATTAGGGCTTCCGGCTGCAGACGACAATTTTGGCAGTCCGCAATCAAAAATTTCGGAGCCCAGGCACGAAGTAGGAGTTGAGCTCAATCAGTGATGTTCGCGGAAGGTGTGGAGAAACACTTTTGGGCCAGCCTCCTGGTGTAGCGGTGTAAAGATGCTGGCGTTAGCATTTACCATTTGACAGAGACTTGATGTTTGATCGTGTGTTGAACCTCTACGCCACAAAGCCCTGAAGGACGGGGTTCGTGCGATGGCGGTGCACCGACGAAAGCTGGAAAAGGTGGAGAAGTATGAGTGGCAAGAGGGCAAGAAGATCTACGAAACCAGAGAAGTTACGGCTGAAGATGGTCGGATACAGAAGAAGGAAGTCGACACCGGACGCCGAGAGCCTGGCCACTGGATTCCCGAGGTTGTCTTCCGTGAGGTTGAAAATAAGACCCTGCTTGCTCCTAGTGGCGTTTGCTTCCGCCAGCTTGGCGCATCGTCTTCCAGGTTTGAAGCACTTTCTCCTACATCCCAAATCTGTCTGAACCTTGGTCAGTTCAACGTGAATCAGCTCCTGCAGTGTCAAGCAGAGACACGGACTTTTCTGCCACAAGATGCGCCAGGAGTGAATGTAAATGTCAACGTGGGCTCTGCCGAGCGACCTCCGCGACCCGCGTCTCGTGTTCTCGGCTTCGAGACGCGGGAGCGCATTCTGCCCATGGGCCAGGAGGTTCATGCCTTGGGCGACGTGGCGTGGCGTTATCGGGCCTCCATCCAGGGCATGCAGGGGGGTGGAGGAAGCTTGGCAGTGCTCCAGCCAGCTCAGGCTGGATCAGGCTGCTGGTAATTGTCAGAACATGTTGCAAACAGGTCTCGTTGTCCTTCTCATGTTAACATCTCTGGTTGTTCCGTGTCTGGCTCAGTGTTGTTATTGTCTTCTCAAAAGGCAGGGCCCGCCTTCCACATTTGGGAATTGAACACTCATGTTGCTGGTCAGAATATATAGACTACCAGCCCATGCTAGATGATTTGTGAGGTCCAATTTGCAGGTCGGATCTGCGAATAACAGCAACAGCGCCATTAAGTGCCTCTCAAGCGGGCTTGTGGGTTCCAGTGGGAATGGGGCGTGTCGAGGAGAAAGTCATGTGGATAATTTACATAGAGTGGAGTAAGGCAAAGTCAAGAGAACTACGAAGTTCTATTGGATTTTGCTCGCTTCCTGAAGGTCGGGCCTTTCACCTTCGCGTTCGGCTCGCGGGACGACTGGCTGTCGAAACAGCAGAACTCAATCAGTGCAGCAAGGGAATCGGTGATGCTCTGCAGTGGCCTTGGCCTTTGCAGTGTTGTTGTCGGAGGCGTCGTGCTGCTCGGCAGCCGTTCCCAGTGAGATCCGGCGCGCGCTTGCACGCAAAAGCTCAAGCGACTGTGCGCTTCAAATTGAGGATCCCAGACACGTGTGTGTGGTCTCAGTATGTCTCAGTCCCTGGTGCAAGCTTGAACAGGCCCCGTACTGCATAGGTGTACCTACATGTCAGAATTCACGCTTAAGACAGCCGTGCCCTCGAACATTCCGCACCGGCTTCAAAACCCGTATGGCCCATCCATGAACTACTGGCTGAGTTGCAGAGCTAGTATGTTGGGGCTTGTAGATCCCATGTGCTTTTTTGCTGTCAGGATTATTTGGCTCATGAAGACCAAAGAGCAACATGTGACCATGCAAATCGCCAGTTTGGTTTGAAAACCCACTCGTTCCTAAAAAAGTCAAAGTGATGGTACAGCAGGCAGCGGATCCGGAAACTGTCTCACAGTCGCTTGCATGGTACGGCCTGCGCCAGTCTTTTTCGAAAGGTGGCCCAAGCACTTCGCAACATGCTCGCTTCTTGCAGTTTGCCAGAGTTTGCCAGAGGTGTCAGCATGGCGAATGAGGCCAAGGGATGCACGGGATGCAAGCGGCACACGCTTTGGGGACCTTTTGTAATCTCAGCCCTGCTCAGGATGGGCCACTTTCATTCTTGGATCGGTTATTGGAAGAGGACTGCTCGTGCCCATCGTGCCCTTCGCGGGAGCTGTTTGTTTTTTTGTTTTTTGTGTGCTCTTGGGTTGCGCTAGGAAAGGCACAGCAACTTGCACTTGGGAGTCTGGACCTTGCAGTAGTGTCCACAACGACATGGCATTGAATTCAAGTTGTGGTCCAAGGATGTTCGTTTCTGGAAGCATCTGGAACATATGGACAGTAGCAGGGGCCATGGATGCAGCTTAGCGGCGTAGCCACGTGCTGCCAGGCTGGCTGGGATTGGGCTTGGGTCGTGTGCAGCAGTCCTACAGCTAAGGTCATATCTACCGCACCAAGTCCCTCGAGTACAAGACCATGAAACTCATGTTTTGCGAGGTGGGCTCTCCAGAATATGTTTTGGAATTTTCTTGCCTTTAGTTTTTATTGTTTGGTGCTGTCATTCATGAAGCCGCCAGCCACCGCTCGCAACCCCACGGGCCCAGTATGGCCCACTGTTCACGTGGCTCGGAACACTTGGCTCGAACATCCAGAATCATTACGGGACGTGCCGGAGGCGTTTTCATGCAATGTTCAAGAAGACGAAGCAGCCGGACTTCATTGTGTCACACCGTTTGTCAGGTGTGAATTCGAAGCGCGACCCCCTCTTGGACGAGAAGCTTGGGTCCAACAAGCGCAGTCGGGTCGAAGACGGCTCGGCATCGGTCATCTACAAAGAGACCCCGGATGAGCGAAAGGCTCGTCTTCAGGCCGAGAGGCAGGCAGAAAAGGATGCGAAAGAAGCGCAGAGAGGGCGCAAAGGGCCAGCGCTGGGCCCAAGCAAAGCCAGCATCCTGGGGTTGCCTGACCCAGAAGATGTGGTAGACGAAGAGACCAAAGAAGCTTCAGCAACCAGGGTACCTTTATCACAGAAGGAGGCAAAGAGCACTCTGGCTTCTTTTCGGGAGCGCTTGAGGGGCTCCAAATTGCCTGAGCAGGCGGCCGCTGCCGAGACGCGACACAGAGCAGAACTCGAGGCCGAGACGGCTAAGGCACTTGCTGCCAACGAAGAGAAAAGCCAGAAGAAGGTTGCATCTGCACAAGGCCCAGATGCTGATGAGCGCCTCACCATGAATCAGATATGGAAGGCAGGCGAAGGAGCCGTCGTGCACAGTACAGGGTCCTTTCGTGCGTAAGAGTTGTCTAGCAACAACTTTCAATGATAGTCCCCATCTGCAGGAGATGATGAGGATGGATCCGCTGCCGATTGGCTAGGGGGCGAAGGGCTGAAATTTCACACTACGGCGGACAAAGCTTTCTCAATGGCAGAGAAGCGCTTCAAGGAATCAGATGGTCCAGATGTCGCAGCGAACCGCGAAGTGGCTGCTTCAATTGCGAAGAAGCAGAGTGAAATCCGAATGGCAGAGATGCGGCGACAACAGAAGAAGTAATCGCAGCTTCGGGAAAACAGCGGCTAATCCACTGCCCAGCTCGCAGTTCGCATGCAGATTGCAGATGCATCCAAGATGGCAAAAATCCCGCAGTTAGCAGATACTGGCGCTGTGCAGGGCGTGTTCTTTGCCTTGTTCCTGTTCGTGCTCACCACTTACCTGATTTCAGAGAAAGCCGGTGATCTGTATTCGAGCCGCAGGCCCCCACGATTTGCAAGTCATCTGTCGCAAGACAGCAGGCACAGACCGAGACATGCTGTGCCTGCGCAGGCAGCAGCTGGACTATTGGGGTGGTTGCACCATGCAGGTGAGCTCGCATGAGCTCGGGCACGGTGTGAAATGTGTGAACTGTGTTTCGTTTGTGCCTGTGCAGGCGACGACGAGGCATTGCAAGGTGAACGCCGCTTTCTCAGTGCAACCCTAAACCCTAAAGCTTTTTGGATGTGGCGAAGCGAGATGTGCGACTCTCTCAGGATGTCAAGGACATCCCTTCTCTCCTGAGTTGGCTGACGGATGATTTCATACCTTTGGCCTGGTGCTCGGACCTGGGTGCATCCCTGGCTGAGTCTCCGTGGAGTTGTTTTTCAGGCTTTCACTGACCGCACCGAATACCCTTCAGTGGTTATGCCCGGGGCCCCGTCTCCGCTCCAACAATTTCCCCGGATATGTTTGAAAGCCTGCCGGCCTGACAAGGTCAACTTCGGTCTTTAGACTACAGGAGAGCCGCGCAAGTTTCTTTGGAACATTTTTTTTCACGGTAAAGGCTGTAAAGGCTCTGAACGTGTTTGGTTGGAGTGTTTCTGCACGTCTGGCTGAGAGGATGGTACGATGCATTGGACACCGCGCTTCGTCACGACCCTGAGAACGCAAGAGCCAGTCCAGGGACGGGTGTCCGTTTGTTCTGCCAAGGTTGGGGATACCCAAACTTCGGTGCTCATCGGGACGATCCGTATGCGGCAAGTTCGTGTCCAATACAGCCAGGCTCGCTCTGCTTGACCACAGCTGCAAACATGTAAGGCTGAATGCATCTGTGAGCCAATCTCATGCGGCACCAGTGTGGCATGACTTGTGCAAAGGAACTCCAGCTACTAGTCTTGCACAGATTCTTCAGCACTTCAAGTAAGTGCGATGGCCATGTGCAAAGGGGACCTTACTAGTAGGATCTGAGGGAGCGCACCCTCAATGCCTGACATGGCCCCCAATACTTGGACCGAAGATTCGTGCGTTGTGTTTTCAGTCTCTGCAGTCCTGACGGAATCAGAGGTGGGTGACCCCCATCCCAATCCATCTGTCCCCTCCTTGTACATGTAAGAAGAGAAATCTAAGGGGGGCCAAGTGCTTCCGGATCGTAAGCCAGATGAGCATGCTACTCACCCACCGCACGCTTTGCAAGCACTCTGCCAAGCATCCTCGGTTCCTCGGGTTCGTAATCTGGGACCTCGCGTTCAGCGGCGTAGGGGTTAGGCATTCCAAACTTCGAAGGAACCCCCACGAAAGATGTTCAGGTTGGGAGGGGTGAAGCTCTTTCGATGTTGTCTGTGAAAGCCTCGATGGTCAGATGCTGGCAAGAATGGTTTGAAGACTCATGTGCCCATGTCAGGCATGTAGTATCCTAGACGAGCTAAACAACATTGGAGTCACCGCTAGAGCCTCAGATGAGTGTGCAACAGTGTGGAGCGAATGGAAGGCATTGAATTAGGCGCACATCGAGAATGAAGGTGCCAGTCGATGCATTTGAGGATTGCTTTGCGGACTATTCCGATGCGGTGCAGAGTCGTCTGTCATGGGCACCGGCCTGGGCGCCTGAACATTTGAAGGCCCGGGGCTTGTGAAGTCTTGATGAGCCCATTGACACCAGCTGATGTGCCAGGACCACTACGTGTTCAAGAGTGCCAACATAACAGAGCAGCGGGAGTTCGTCGGCAGGCACACCCCAACAGACAAGATGCGACGCAAGCTCCAAGGAACCAGCAGCAGTGAGGTAAGACTATTGGATGGGGAGGTATGCAGTCTACCCTGGCGACGGTTTCGTCCTCGACTTGGGGCTAAACCTCATGGACGCCCAAACCAGGCCTTCCATAGGAAAACGCCGTTGTTAAAAGAACAAGCAGCCCTGGCAGAGAAATGACTGGTTCCTTGTCGAGGATACGAGAGTTGGAGTACTGGAAGTGGTTGGACTTTCGTACCCGTCTTCGCCTTGAAGTGCGACGGCTGTCCTATCAGGCCTTGTGCTGTCCAAGTGCAACTCCCAGGTGCTTTCATGATTGAGTTGAACACCATCAACCCGAATGTGAACAGTTTTGTTCACAGCAGGACACTGGGCCCTAGAACTGTTACTTCAGGATGTGAAGTTGCGCAATCACATTGTGGAAGGATACTCTTTGAATTTCCTGCGGCGGGTGGTGTGCTCATTCGTCAAGAGGCCAGGGTTGTGTTTGCATGAATAACAAGCATATACAAGGCTCTGAGCTTGCCCATCGCCCGTAGCAGGCTTTTCCTTTTCGTGCGGTGCAGCTCTCTTTGCCGGACGCTGATTGTGCAGGGAAACGGTTTCGATCCTGTTTCTCCGTTCGCAGACATGTTGACAAAGGGCACTCATGGCTGCGGACGACTTCGGCGGCAGCTTCGTCTACCTGGCTGGGGGCCCCCGGGCAGTCGGTTTGATCTCGCCGTTGTCATACGAAGCGGGTAGCAAACGACGACCTGTGTGTGTGTGTGTGTGTGTGTGTGTGTGTGTGTGTGTGTGTGTGTGTGTGTGTGTGTGTGTGTGTGTGTGTGTGTGTGTGTGTGTGTGTGTGTTCGTGTAGTTCAAGATAGTTCGCGTGCAATGGTGTTCGCGATTTGGTGAGGTGCTGACGTGTGGCTTCAGCATTCTTTTCGCCATTTATGCTTGCAGCCAAGATGACACAGAGAGTCTTCCGACTGCAAGCCACTGCGCGATTTGTCTGTCAGAATATATGGCTGATCTACAAGAACGGCGCTCGTTTCTTCACGTACTTCTGGTCAAATGTGCCTGCCTCATGGAAGTGGGCAAGGGAATGTGTTGTTGGAACCCAGAGTGCGGTGCACCGTGAAATCAGATTTTGTCCTCCGACACCGATGGCCAAGGTGGACTTGTTGAGCCTCGTGGTGAGCGCACCCGAACTTTGTCTGTGCTGATTGTGCTGCATCCACGAATCGAAGGTCAGCTCGTCGACCTGCAATTTGTTGTGTGCTGCGACGTTTGGTTCTAGCTTCGTGTGTGCCTTCAAGCCATGTCACGGAATTTCGAACTCATCGTGATTGTGGCGGCTGTTGCCTCTGGTGGCACATGCTCTCTTCACGTGGCCCGGGCAAAGCAAAGTACCTCGTCCTCATGCAGTGGGTTTACGATTAGAACTTTTCATGGCTTCCTAGTCTCTTTGCGATCGATTTTCGCTGTCAACGTCAGCGATTTTCGTCCGGTGAGTTGAGGGTCGGCGGGGGAGCGGGTGTGAGTTGATGTTGAAATGAGCGCAGGACCACACAGGGACAGACCATAGACGACTAGGGTTGGTGAGTAGCTAGTGTGGTGCCGCATGCTGCCGCCATTTTGTCTCCACCAAGCCCCCCACTATGAGCCAAGCTCAAAACGGGCTTTGCAGATCTTGGGGCAGGGCCAAGGCATTCAACACATTTAGTTCAGATGTTGAAGGTGTGAAAGGCGGGACAGCAGCCCAGCAAGGTTCGGTTCCAGAGATACCCTACATAACTATACATATACATATATGCATATATATATATATACATATTTTTCTACATATATATATATATAATATTGTTTTCATATATGTATTTCTATGATAAGTATGAATGTCTTTCTGCTTCCGATGAAATATAGATGTTGGGATATCTACGCATATATGTGTGTATAATACATACAATGATTCCACACACACATAATTACATAATATACTTATACATATGAATTAGTAAATAAATAAATAAACACATATATATATATATACTGTATGTATGAAGGCATGAAAGAATCGCGACCCCGCGTAGATTCCTGCAAGGACCCGGTGGGGGATCCTTGGAGTGAAACTCAGGAAGTCAAACTACAAGGGCCGGCGGTGGGGAGGGGATTGAGGTCGGAAAACACGGAAAACACATGGTTGCATAACCTCTGACGCCCACGGTCGGAGCCAAGGCGAAGTAGCTTCATCTTGTTTCTGACCAGTTGTTCCGACAGAGCTTAGGCCGTCGTCATCTGCGCAGCTGACGGCAGTCTCTGCACAAGCATTGGTTCCAGTGTTCTAGCATGAGTTATGGTGGTAGTGGGTCGACCGGTTGACCTTCACGTCCCTGGACCCAGGCTGTCAAGGAGCATGGCAGAAAACGGCACTGGCAGCAGGCAGTTTTTTTGGCACAGCAGCGACGGCCCATGCCGTTCGACACATGCAGTGCTGCTATAGATGCGTGTGGAAAGGGGCTACAATGGCAGATGGCCTTGTTAATTCTTGGGCAGCACCTGCGGCACGCCCCAAAAAGCAATGCATATATCTTTGCTGCTGCCATCAACGCTTGTGCTCAGTCTTCTCAGTGGCAGCGCGCTTGTGCTATGCTGCAGCTAATGCGGGCACAGAAGGTTCCTGGCAATCTTTATGCGTACAGCGCTGTAATTAGCGCCCTGCGCAAAGTGGCACAGTGGAAGCAAGCCCTGCATGTTCTGGTAGAGGTTGATCGCAACACGGTGCAGAGGAATTTGGTGACGGTGAATGCAGCAATTGGTGCGTGTGCAGCTGCTGGGGAGTGGCAGCAGGCGGGGCAGTTGCTGCAGGAGCTGACGTCCGAGCTTCAGGCGGATACAATAACATACAATTCTTTCTTAAGTGCTCTCTCGAAAGGAGCTCAGTGGCAGTTGGCACTGCAGTGTTACCTGGAGCTTACATTCACAAACATGGGGAGAAACGCACGGACAGCAGTAGCAGTCATAAGTGCGTGTCAGAGGGCCACGCGTTGGCAGAGTGCTCTTTGCATCTTTGATTCCTGCGACTTACACAAAATCCAGAAGAACTTGGTGACCTACAATGCTGCCATCAGCTCATGTGCTGCAGGCAGTGCTTGGGAACTTGCCATTGCTCTAACTCGGCTTGATGGAGATTTATCTGCGGACTTGCGAACTTTCAACGCGGCCATCAGCGCCCTTGCAAATGCTGGACTTTGGGAAAAAGGCCTTTTGTTCTTGCAGCATCTGCAGCGGCAGAGTACCAAAGTGAACGCAGTTAGCTACAACACAGTCCTCGCAGCCTGTGAGAGAAGCGGGCAATGGGAGGCAGCATTGCAAGTGTTTTCCCAAATGGGCGATGCCGGGTTGAAAGCGGACGCCATCAGCTTCAACACTCTGATCAGCACGTGCACAAGGAAGCGTCGATGGCAGGAGGCAGTCAGACTCCTCAGACATATGGGGGCAGCTCAGATCGCAGCAGATGCTATGACCGGTACTGTGGCCATACAAGCCTGTGCCTCGTCCTCTCAATGGCAGTGGGCATTGCACATCCTGGGTTTTTGCAGTGCATGTGACTTGGGGTTATATTCTGCATGCATCAGCGCATGCCAGCAAGCTTCAGCTTGGCAAACAGCTTCGTTCCTCTTCTCTGAAATGCGAAGCAACCGTTGGCATGCAGATGTCGTGGCGTTCAACGCCTTAATCAGCGGCTTGGTTGCAGCTCTCCTGAGTGTGGAGTACCTTGCGAGCCAATGTGCCGGTTCTTAGGTTTCTGTGAGGCATCTAACCAGCAGCCCGCGGAAAAGTATAGCCGCTAGCCCTCCAGCATCCCCAACTCCAGTCCGAAGTGTCGGGCCTTCCTGCCTGTTCGGTAGTCGTGTCGTAGCCATGAGAATCCGTCTTGAGATGTGGAACTAGCGCATTTGTGTTGTTATGCCTTCTTGCTAGGTTTATCCTGTCTGCATGACATGGACAGGTACGTACGAAGCTGCCGGGGAGTGGCAGCGAGTCCTTTGTCTGCTGGCTGAGCTGCGGATGACCGAGTCGGTGGCTCCGGACTCCAGAACCTGTGCTGCTGCTCTCAGTGCCTGCGTGCGAGCTGGGAAGTGGCAGTTGGCCCTGTGCCTTTGGCACGGCTTTTGGGAGGAAGGGATCCGCCCGGATGTGGTGGCAGTGGATTCGGTGATCAGTGCATGTGCGAGTTCAGAGCTGTGGGCTCTTGGACGCTTCTTCCTTCGTTACGAGTGTGAGCACGGAGAGCACAAGGGTGCCCGGAGTGCCTTGCAGTTCCTATGGGCCTTGGCCGAGCTTGGTGTCTCTGATGAGCTAGTTATCGACAACGCCTGTTGTGCGGTTGCTAGGGACTTTGCTTCCTCAAGTTGGACAGCTGATGATGTGGCCTTGTATGCATGGTCGGCCACCATGCTGGGTGTATCTTCTGCAGCCCTATCCAGGTCCATTGCCAAGCTTCTTGGCTCAGCCGACTCACATTCAGTTGCTTAAACTCCCCAGCACGTTGCGTAGCCGGTCTGTGGTCCGTGTCTCGCAAGCTTCGCCCGAGGCATGTGTTGTCCAAGGGCCTGACCTTTGGCCCAAGGCAACTGGCCGAAATGGCACTGGTCGACGATCCGGGGCTGCTGAGAGCGATCCAGGCCCGGGTGCGTTTGGGGCAGTGTTTGGGCCCTTGTTTCTGGCTAATACGGTTGGCTCTGGTAGCATTTGTGTGCGCGAGTTTCTGCCAATAACGGGCCACGCTCGCTTTCATCTTGTTCTTGAGGCATTGGCCCAGGACGTCTTGTACTCAGCGCAACTCTCGTTCGTGGAGAGCGGGCTATATGCGCTTCGCCCTTTGCTAGTCGCACTGGGGGGGGGGTTTTTCAAATAGTGCTTGATGAAGGTACAAATTGGTGTTGAGGGCCTCGTAGCAGTCTCAGGTTCTGGCCGTGCTCCGCGGCGCGCAACTTTGCGGCGTGCTTCGAAGGGATGTCCTTCGGTCGGTGGAGGCCGCTTTCCGGCGCGTGGGGCGGGCTATGGATGGCCAGGCAGCCACTGACGACGCTCGCCGCGCCCGGCCTCTTCACCCCAGCCCTGCAGGCCAGGCTTTGGAGCACCAAATCAGCTTTGCAGCATTTTTCAGTAACCCAGAGTCATTGGTGATTGGCAATTGGCTTGGTAACGACATCTACTGACTTCTCATCAAAATCAAGGGATTGAGTACTGATTGAGTCCTGAGTGAGGCCAGCCTCTTCTGTGGGAGCACTCTGTAGATCGAGCTGTGGTGTACAAGCCCCCCAACTGGGAAGTCTACGGGCAGCACACCAAGCTTCAGCTTCTCGACTTTGTACGGGCCACCTTGGGGGAGCAGCCGATTTTTCGAGATGCTGGTCGCAACCATGGCTTCCTGCATCGCCTTGATGTGCCAAGCTCCGGCTTGATTCTTCTTGCGAAGTCCTTTGAGGCCTGGTACGACTTGCAAGTGCAGCTCTATGCGGGAGAAATCGGCCGCGAGTACACAGCGCTCTGCCACGGCTGGGCCCCTCCGTCCCGTGAGATCCGTTCGCAGCAGCGGGAGGGCATCCAGCAACCGACCACTTCTGGAGGGCGTGGGAAGCTGAGCATCACAAGGTGGAAGGTGTTGGAACGGCTCTGGCACAATGGCGCTCTTTGCAAGCTGTCCGTGGAGATCGTGACCGGGCGCAAGCACCAGATCAGGAGCCACTGTGCGCACGTGGGACATCCAACGGTCCGGGATGGGCTGTACACCAGTGCATGGACTTTCGAAGCCGACGCGCAGCTGTGCGCCAGAAACTGGTTGCACAGGCACAAGCTGTCTTTCAAGGATGCCACCACTGGCATGCTGCACGAAGTTGTTTGTCCGCTTCCAAGCGACCTCGGCTCGGAGCCGATGCCTGTAAGTGGACTCTGGGGCAAAACGGCCTTTATGTGTTTGGGTCCCGTACTAGGGTAGTCTTTGGCATATCTTGGCATGGGGGACGAGACTGGGGGGAGCTGCGTTTGTGCTTGCTGCCATTGGGCCCCATTGGGCTTTTGTTTGATAGTGTGCGGGCCATGCGGGCCGTGCCATGAAGCTGTTGTATGCGCTGGGCGATGCTGTAAGCTCCTGGGCCTTTATTGCGATTCTACTAGCCTCTATATCCCCATCTCATCCCATGTCCTCAGAGTGCTTGGCAACAACTTTCCTAGAGGCGCAGCTAAGGCCACTTCCTGGATCTCTTGCCCAACACTTTGAGCCAAGCAGCCGCCTCCCCAGGTCTCCGAGAAAGCCTCTCGCACAGCGCGGCGTTGAGAAAAGCCAAGGTCAACAATACAGATTCTTGCCAATATCACAGTGGAGGTCATGGAGCCGTGCGCGTGAGCATCGCGAGTGATAACGTGCGCAGCCTCGTCTTCGATGATGATCCAGGCTCTACTGAAACACCCCAAACACCCCAAAACATCCACGCGGACACCTTTGACAAAAGTAAGATCCTTCGACACCCCTGAGTGCAGGCTACGTGGAAGCCTCGGTTGCCTGTGGCTTGGCGGAAGCTCCGAACATCTGGAGAACGTCGGCTGTGACTGTGAAACCGTGAGATGTGAGGCACGGGCAGCAAGCCTCACCTGCTCCGCTGGCCTTGGTCAAAGGCGCCCGAGCATCTGAGCTGCGAGGATCCGGCTGTACGCAACAAGTACCGCTGCGAGGCACCAAACGGGCTTGTGCACCAGAAGCACTCTACTGATTACGGTGCACAGTAGTGCACACTGGCTTATTCTCACGGCATGCTAACTGCCAGGCACCAAACATTGACAAGGCAGACTGGCCTGTGCAATGGGTGCCGTGGTTGGAGCTTTGCCGTACAAGACCGCAGAAGATCCTATTCCTGGGGCTGGGAGGCAGGGTTGGCAACGTGCATTCTTGTTTGTGAAATGCACAAAGTGGGGCCGGCGCTGTCTGCTGCTCGCCATGCGAGGTGGATACTACCAGAGCTACCTCGCTAGTCAGTGCCCAGCGTCGCAGACATTGACGCTCGAAAACAATGCAACCATAGTGGAGGCTGCCCGCGACTACTTCGGCTTTCAAGGCACCTCATCACATCCCGTCCAGCAGACCTTCTGACTTTGCAACAAAGAGTGGCGTGAGCGAGAGGCACTTGAGAGGCACTTGAGAGGCGCTTGTGGGCAGGTGACGTGATGTTAGCCGATGCCACTTCTGGCATGAAGCACTTGCTCAAGCACGGCGAAAAGTTTGCAGCTTGGCGGCCAGTAAATCATGGTGCCGTGATGTGCTTTGCACTGCAGAAGCCTTTCTGCTCCAGCACAGGATGCGGTCATCAGTGATTTGGGCCAGCGCCAGCTTGAGTCCCATGACCTGAAGCTGGCACAAAAGCTGCTCAGACCAGGCCGAGAAAGCCCAATACCGCCCAACCCCACTTGTTTTCCGCACTGATTGGCAGCCAGAGCAGGTGGGACATTTTTATTCCAGTGGTGCTATGGTGGACTACGTAAGCATGAAATGAAGCTAGACAAAATGATGGATGCTCGGCTGCTTTTGTGACATTTTATGCAGTGAAGTGCCGCCTGTCGTTCCCAAGCTGGACAATCAAACTCAATCAGGCTTTTGGTTCCAACGCTGTTCGAACTGCTAGGGTTCAGGCTTGACATGTTACGCGACATGCGTGCCCAACCCTCGGGTCCGTTGGGTGCAAGTATGCGCTTGGAAAGGATTACTTTGTTGATGTCAGTGCTGCTGCCGACAGGGATGGAGACTTGGCTGTGAGTGAAGTTTTTCTGGTGCTGCATGCCGGCATGCATTTCTAAGTTGACGGCAGTCACGGTAGAGGCATTTGTGGGATGCACTCCCATGTCTTCGCTTTTGTTGCCGAGGACACTGCACGTACTATGCAGCTCAGAAAGCCGAGGGTGAGACGGATACCGTCTCTGCAGAAGCGTGAGTGGCCCATGTAGCAGAAGGGGGGGGGTTGTGACATGGCTGGCAGAGGGGCCAAGGAGGCCTTCCAGAGGAGCAAAGCTCCGATCAGGTCATAGGCCTGTTCAGCTTCAAAGGAGGCTGCCGTGAAAGGATGGTTGTTTCAAAGGACCGGCAGTGTCTGCTTCTCGCATATGTGGCCAAGCTTAACGCCATAACACCTGTCTGCCAGCGCAGAGATGATCTGGCAGCTGCCCTTCCTCTGCACCCTCCAGCCTTTCCTCGCCTTTTTGCGCTTGGGTAGGGCTTGTCTGGGTTTCTGCACATGGCCCCCCTCGCAGGTCTGGGCTTTGATGCTTTTGCTGAAGATCCAGATCTTTCAGGTGGCAGCGTGCAGCTCAGAGTATGTCACTCCCACGACGGAGAACGAGAGCCTTTGTGTAGCTGCAGCTTGTCGCAATTTGTTGCAGTAGTTCTGCCAAGTCTGAAGTCAGTGCTGAGGACACACTGCCTAGTTTGACGCCAGATGTCATCAGCGACCCAGCCCGCAGCCTAAACACCCAGTCACGCCCAGTCAGTCCATGTCGGGCAGCATAGCCAGAAAGCTGAAGACTGACCCTTTGCTGTAGTGTTTCGATATCGGAGAGATGTGCCGACTTAGAGTGACATTCAGAGCCTGCGCTGTGTGAGGAGATGTTCTATCCCATCGGTACGCTGGTGATGACCTTGGGGTGAGAGTGAGAGATAGTGAGAGCGTCTCGGTTGCAACAGTCCAGACCATCGACTTTGGCTTGAGGTTCCCAACATGGAGCTTGTGATGGGGCTCCAGGCCTTGCTCGGACTTGTGAGAGCCCCAGCATGGCTTGTGGTTGCGGACCTGCACTTGCCGCACGACAAGCTTGAGCAGACGGGTGGAACTGTGAAAGTTCCTGTCAGATCACCTGGCTTCGAGTCCTGAAGTATCTGACGCTCTCGCGCACGCCAGTGCCTGAAGCTTCCTCCTTTTGCTGAAGGGAAAAAGCTTTCCAATGCTTCAGCTTCTGCAGCAGCCCCTGCAGGTTCCTACCCTTCGTGCGCGTTTTTGAGCGCTGCTTCATAGCACAGCTCTTAGTTCCACTCATCAATGCTAGCTGGTGAATCAACCATGCGCAGCTGCAGCTGCCCTCCTGCGCCACAGGCCCTGATCAAGTACTCCGCGCTGCTTTCCGTGGCGCTCTTTGGGTTCGCAGCCTGCCGCCCAGCGGGCTTCGCGGGGTTAGCCTTACACAGGGGTCACTGGACCGTCATTCGCCCAAGGTGGCAATCTACATCGGCTTCGGAACTGAGGCTCTGCAATATGGGATTGACGGCCTCGGCATTAGCAACAGTTCTTAGCCCTCATTGACTTTGACTTGGCCTTGTCTTGAAGCTGTCGCCGATCCAGACGAACGCCATGTGTTAGTGGTACCTTGCTGGTGATGAATGAGTGTGAGACCTCGTGAGAAACCCAAAGCAGTTTTTAAATTTTGTACTACAGGCACAGAGGCTCAATTGGTTTCCATTGAACTCTCTCTGTTTCGTCTTCTACTGCACATCTTCTTGTGTGCACAGGCCGGCATCTACAACAGCATCTGGAGCACTTTCGTGTAGACCTGAGACTTCTTTGTGTGTGTTGGGGTGGAAATGTCATACGTGTGTGTGTGTGTGTGTGTGTGTGTGTGTGTGTGTGTGTGTGTGTGTGTGTGTGTGTGTGTGTGTGTGTGTGTGTGTGTGTGTGTGTGTGTGTGTGTGTGTGTGAGAGGGGCCCAGACCGCTCCCCAGAAGCCATTTCAAGGTTGCGGTGGCTGTGGCGCCAGCAGGGGGCGTCGACTTGGGCCCCGTCACAGCGACCGGCTAAGCCTTCCTGGTGTGGCTTAGGGCCGTTTTGGGGTTTGAGGCAGCATTGGGCAGCATTGGGCAGCAGATTGCAGCAGCTGCTTCTGAGGACAAGAACAACAGTTTGGTCATCGACTTAGTGAGACTTTGCCAATCCTGGCAGCTCAACTGCCGGCGCCATTGGCTGCTGTTGAGGAGCAGAAAGTATTGGCTGGTGTGACTCTGGTGTTTTGAGCCTATCCGTGAGGTTGCTCCCATCATTCTGTTCTCCTACATCATCGTCGCCACGCAGCTGCACTGTGCCTGCTGATCTGGTTTTTAGGCGGAAGGTGTACACCAACGGTATGCGAGACAGGTGTGCAGCGGAAGAACTTGCACCGTGTCCGTCACAGGTCGTCCTGCTGGTGCTGACCACGTTTAACGCTATCCAGATCGACTCGTACAGTGTGACAACGCTGCCGGCTAAGAGCATTGGCACCGCAACCCTAAGCAGGCTTGGTGCCTTAAAAAGAGACTTCTAACCTTCTGAGGTACGAGCTCTCAACTTTGAAGAGGCACAAAGCACCCGGTCCATCGCTTAGATTGACTGGGATGGGGCGTTAGACGGGGGGGGGAGTGTTAAAAGAAGTGCTAAAGAGTGTTAAAGTGTAAATTTCAACCTGTTGAGATGGCACGAGAGTCACTCGAGTCTGCAGGTGCTGGCGGTGATCCAACTATCATCTTTATTTGGACGTACTTGAACGCCTTGAAGGGTGTCAAACTGGTCGGGAAGGCACTGCGTTGGTTAGATTGCCGCATGTTCACGAGTGGTCAGCTGGAAGTTGGAGAAGTGACTGATCCTCCTATACGGGAGCTTGATCGTCCGTTCAGATCCTGCATGTCCCACATGAATTTGTGGCTCGAACTAAGAAGTGCATGACACAATCATAGCGAGGAGGAACACATGAGTTTGGCAATGCCCAGTTGAGCATCTGAAGTGCAACATACTAAGCATCTTCAACCCCAGAAGCAAAAAAACACTTTTTTTCCGAGGGTTCTAGTGTGCTGATGCCGCCCGGCGTCCTTCGAGACGGCGTGCAACTGCACATCTTGTACTGGGAGGCAGATTGGGGGGGGGAGGGGGGGGGGGGGCGGTGCCACAGCAGGGCCTAGGTTCACAAAATGTGGCCATTCCCTGGCAGGAAGAATGCAGAGAAACTTATTTCTTCGAGCCAGAGGATGTAATCAAAGACACAAAGCGCAGAGATGGCCCCGGGCGTTGCTTCTGCTGTGGTCATGTGGCGGACACTTGGAGGCCTTTCGGCAACCAGGGCTCAGGGTCTACACAGGGATGTTTGATCAGCAGGGGGTTACTGAACGGTCCAGGCGATGTGAGGGTGAGATGCTGAGATGCCACGGCTCCTTGCAGGCAGCGGCTGGACAACATGCAGAGCACCTTGCGCATGTGCTTGGATCCGCATTTGCCGATGTTTCGGCAGGAGTGCTGCGAATGCCTTTAGCCCTGCGAAGCCTTTCTCGGAGAGTTTCTAAATAGGTTTAGAAGAGGTGTGAGTCGGTGTTTTTAGGGGCCTTCTCCGGAAGAGTCTGTGAGGACGTGGCAAGCTTCCACTGCTTGTCCCCAAAGATGCGAATGTCTTACAGCCTCAGGTCGGGTATGTGGGCTTACATCCTACCCTATCCTACCCTATTGGAGGGGGCCTTCCCTAGTTGTCTCGAGTTGTTGAAAAAACACGAAAAAAAGAAGAAAAGATGCCGGTTTTGCGAGAGCTGCCATGGGCAGGCAGTTTTACACGTACCTTCGGGCCGTGAATTCGACGGCCACGGTCACAGAGAACGACATCCTGGGCGCTGCCCTGGCAGTGGAAAGGTCTGAGTTGCACAAGGCTGCTTGTGGCATCGAGATGGACAACTGGAGCCTCCAGCTGCTCAGAACTGTAGGGTTCTCAAGTCAGTGCATAGCTCCGCCCCCCCACAACTTGCCAGAAGCTCAGAACAGCTTCGTGTGCTACGTCACAGTTTGTTTTTCGCCAAGGAACTGGGAAGCTCCACGCAACACCAGGCCGCATGAAGAGTGGCTGCAGCAAAAGGCCGGGGGGTGGGGGGGGGGAGAACCAGGGGGCCCACTATTACGGCACTTGAGGTCGCTTGAGGTCGCTTGAGGTTACTGATGGATGCTGATCGCCTTACTTGGTTGTGTAGGGTTGGCCGCTTAGCCCAAGGATTTCTCACATGCTGCCCGGTTTCACTGAGCCCCTCGCGAGGTCCGTGACATGACCGAAGCGGCAAAGCGTCGGGGTGGCAGCAGCATAGGACCGATTGCGGCTTCAGGTAGTTGTTGCTGTTTTAATATTGTTTTAATATTGTTTTAATATTGTGATCGTTATGATTATTGCTATCATCACTCTTTTGATTTCTTCGAGCGCCTTTGATGTCGCAGGACTCCTTCTGGACAAGGACGGTTGCGAGGTCTCCTCTTTCGGCACCAGCTTGCCGATGTTCGGCGTGCCCGCGGCTCCGATTCGGGAGGTGCTGATTTTGCTGGGTGGGCCTCATGGCATCCATGCCGCGGAGCTGCAGAAGCTCATGGACATCTTCTCGGGCTTCTCAAGCGGCCTGATGAAGATCCGCCTGCCGGGAGGGCTGCACCATTCCTGCGTGGCTCTGAATGACCTCTTGAGCTTCCATGACAAAGGTGCAGGGGTTTCCATTTCTGCTGAGACCAGTAGGGGCTCGCCTGCATGAAGCAAGGGTTGTGGGGCGGGCGTGTGGCAGTAGAGAGGGGTGTCAAGGGGCATTAATCGACTCATCAGAAAACTTGATCGCATTCCTCCAGGCGTGCGGCCACTTAGATATAATTTTGTCTTCGACCCTGATCTTGGTTGAATCTTCTGTTCGGTTTGCGGTGAAGCCTGGAGGCCACAAGCCAAAAGGGTTCCAGCCTTGGGTCAGCGATTCTCTGGGGCAGGGCGTGTGGGACTAAAGTCGGCCAAAAAACTTGGCACTGCCCGCATCCCACCCCCATCCCCTGGGCCAGGGCAGGGTGGCCTTGAGACATCCAACAACGCATGGGCCTCTGAACCCAAACTCCAGCCAGCGCCTCGCCCTGCTCTTGCAAGTCTGCCCCAACTTGTTTTCTTGCGAGTGCTTTCGGAAGCCTGGGAGGCTATTTGATCCCTGTCCTGGAAGACTACAAAGCGCTGGGCGAAACTCAGTACCAGAGGAGAAGCACTGCCATGAGCTCGGCCATCACTGCGTGGTCGACCTCCGACTTGACGTTCGACGACAAAGTCAAGGTAGCTTTGCTAAATTTTGCTAAACGTCGGCAAAAGAGATATGCATGTGGGGCAAGGCCTTGAGCTGTGTGAGTAGTTTCCGTATCCTGCAAGCGTTGCGAGGCTTTACAGGAACTCTCCTCGCATGTTCAGAACGAGTCGAGACGGCATGGTGGCTCTTCGAACCGGTGGTTGGGACTCGTTGAAGACGAGGAAGAGCTGCCGACTCCGAACGTCGTCCTTGGATACATCAGCAGGCTTCAAGCTGCTGGCCACTTTCCCAGGGACAATGCGTGGAGGTGGCAGTGGCGCTTGAGGATGTGCTTGGAAGCCACCGGCCCGGCACGTGCCCTCAAGGCCATCCGGCGATGCCAAAAAAGGAGCCTCGAAGCTGTGCGAGGTGGTGCCCAGCTTAACCCATGGAAGCAGTTGTGCTCTGATTTGGATGCTGAGATCCAACACTCAACAGAGGAGAACGCTCAAGGCCCGTGCGACTCTTGCCCCAGGGATGTCCATTCTGCTTTGCTCAAGGCAAGGGAGGAGAACGAGACCCCGGACGAAGAGGACCTCTTCTCAACCGAGGAGATGATGCACCTTCTCGGTGAGCTTCCCTGTGAGCAGGCAGCAACGCTCTTGAATAACCATGGCCACCGCGACGCGCATGGGGAATCGATGATCTCACTGATCCACGCTATCGCAGTTCGAGTTGCCCAGCATCAGGGTGGCATGCCTCTTTGTCAAAGCTTCAGAAAATTTTGACGATGTTTTTGACACTTTGTTCTTTGTTTCGTGTTGAGTGACTTGGGATAGCCTGGTCAGACCTGCTGAAACCAACTTGCGGGTGGCCATCCTCAAGTTTCTCGGCACAGCGGAGGAAGGGAGGAGCGTAGAGACTTGGCAATGCAATTCCGCACATCCCACAACAAGCAGTTTTGGAGCTTGAGAGGAGGTGAACTTGTGAAGTTCCGGGTGAGAGGTTTTCTCGAGGCGTGCCGAGCCTTGTTCAGCCCAGGAGGACTTTGAGAGGCTAAAGAAGATTTGGAACAAGCCTCGACGGCACAGTTGGCGGCCAGAGCCACGGCAGGTAATGCCGACCCACGCACACACTGTGGAAAGCCAGCCGCCGGGTGATGCTCGAGGCAACTCCTTGCAAGGCGATGCTTTGTGTCAAAGTGCCATTCTGGCATGCCTAACATGGGGTACTCTGTAGCTTTGGGGGCTCTTGGGGTCGTGCCTGGAACGGACAAAATTGAATGGCCAATTGGGGTTTAGGTCCTTAGCTGATATTTAGGCGGGGGGCAAGTTTGGAAGTGCTCGGCATCCAGTAGACTCGTAGAGTCAGTAGACTCTCAGACACCTTGCATTCCAGGCGTGAGCGGGTCGGAGGCGGAGGCGGTGAAAGCGGCGCCCCCCAAGGTGGTGAAGCCAAGGTATCAACGGGTACTTCCTAAGATGCAAGCCAAGGCACAAGCCAAGACGCAAGCGAAGGCACAAGCAAAGATGCAAGCCAAGCTGCCGCTGAAGCTGGCAAAGGTCCAGCCAAAGGCATCTGTCAAAGCGGAAGCGAAGAAGAAGCTGCCAGTTCCGAAGAACAAGCTGCCTGTGGCGCCAAAGAAGCCCCCCGCGAAGCGATCCATTTGGAATCTTTGGCTGCAGAAGAAGCATCTTTTAGGGAACGCAAAGGCCAATAGCAAAAACCAAGTATTGGTGGCAGGAAGTTTGTTGGAGACCCTTTTTTTGCGAGTCAGTTTTTTCTGCCGAAGACCGCTCGTGAGGTTCGAAGATATGCCGCCGTGTGGCTGAGTGGAAAAGAATAATTGGCTTTAAAAGACAATTTGAAGCCATCCCAAGACGTCTGCTTCTAAAACGCCGCATGTGGCTCGAAGTCGCTAAAGCCCACATTGACAAAATTTGGTGGTGCCAGGAAACGAATGAGGACATAGGTGGTCCCCAAGACCAGGCCTGGTCCTCCGAGTGTGCTACAGGCTGACAGGGTAGTGCCAAGTCTGTGCAAGGTCATTGCACTAAGCTCGTTGCCAGAGCCGGTGGCGACCAAGTACTATCGCATGAGGAGGCCCGCTAGGGAGCCTGCTCTGCGCGGCTGGTGCTATGTCTGAGACAGGAAGATGGAGAAGATCCGGGACAAAGCGTTGGATCGGATAGAGGACCGAACCTATACTGCTAGTACAGTGAAGCTGGGGTCTCCACCTTGGTCTGACTTGCGTAGCCGTGCAGCAATGCGTCGCATAAGCTGAAGTGGGAGTTGCTTCTTCAGGACTTGAAGCGCCAAAAGCTGATTGAAGCAGGGATTGGCCTGGAGCAGCATCCCTGGTCATGATGTTTGATGCCCTGCCGCGTGCGCGCTCGCATGCGCGTAAGAACAGCATGAGACGTTTCAATGCTGGGAACGAACACGACTTCGTACATGCTCAGCAGATGCAGCAGTGCGAGTGGCCGCTCAGAAGCCCCAATGCTTCCTCTGGACCTTTTTTCGGCAGACATGAAATCTACGGGCTGCTGGCTCACTTGTGAGGCAGATCGAGGCCACCCGACGCAGTGGGCGAAGAACGCATGTGCCTCAAACTGCTGCGGCAGCAGCTCTGGCCCAGCAGAAGGGTTGTTCCAGACTCTAGCTGTTGTGGCAGCGGAAGGATGTGCAGCTGTACTTTATTTGGGTGTGTGTGTGTGTGTGTGTGTGTGCGTGGGTGTGTGTGTGTGTGTGTGTGTGTGTGTTGGTCGTGGAACGTGTTGCCGGTTCTCAGGTCCCAACTGGCCTTGGCGGATGGGGTCAGCCTTGCATCTTCAAAATGTGCTGCCAGAATCGACATCTTCTTTTGCTCGCTTAGTATGCATGAACCGGAAGGACGAGGAACCTCACCATGATGATGAGGACACGCTTCCCCTTAAGTTGGCTGGTGACGGTGTTAAAGTTGCGGGCGCTGACGAGTTGCTACCCTCAGTTCTGAGATCCATCGGGCCCTAGCATCAAAGGTGGTGTGGCAATGGGGGGCTCTGCATAGGCATGCGTAGGTGGCAGCTGGTCCTGTTGTCAAGCCTATGTCTCGTAAGTCAGCAACTTTAGACACATTCTATGTACAAGAGTGCGCGGTTCTGGCAAGATACGTTACCGGAAAAGCAAGCTGAACACTTGCCTGTTGTAGGCTGCAAAAGGAACAAGTCTGCACATAGGGTAGGGCCACGCGAGACGCTTCTGACGCACTCTAGCTTTGCGAGGACGACAGAATCCCAACATCCACGGAAATGGCGTCGTCCCTGGATTGTCTCTAGAAAGGATGACGAACCCACTTGATGACCCTGCCGATGGTCCGATGGTTTGTTCTATGGATGTCGGGGAATCGGTCATTGTGTGGCTTCAAGGCCAACATCATTGTGAACCGGGTGGGGCCGGCCGAGCTTGACAAAAGCAGCAAAACTTGACGGGTGTTGGACCCTTTAGTAAACCTTTAAGTCTGAGTGCTCGGGAGGTACAACTGCAGCGAATGCTGGACGAAGATCCGAGGCTTGTGGAGATTTGTTCATCGTCAGGTTCTCGGGAGCTGCTCGAGTCATGAACTGTGCGCTTGCATGCACTGCAGCTGCGCCCAGGGACAAGGCCGTTGATGTGGTGCGACGATTCAGGGTGGACCAGACTGGACAGCATGTCATCGAATTTCAAAGCAAGCTTGTGGGCCCTAGGTCCTAGGTGGTTCGCAACCGTTTTCTTTGCTATCACGAACTCGCAGGAGACGATCCCTTCGAAGTGGTGGCCCGGCTCCAGGCCGCAAGGGCTGTACCACAACGTTCGTGCACAGCAATGTAGTGAGAAGCTTCTTCCTTATTTGCTGCTCGTGGGCTCCTGGCTGCCTGCTGCCATGTCCAGGCCTCAGTGGCCGAGAAGCTCAGCGCCATCGAAAGCCGCAAGCTCAAGAAGCGCCAACGCGGGAATGTCTTGTCCCACTAGCCTTCCTGGAACCTGAGCTGAAGCCTGAAGGCATCAACTCCGATCTCGCCTTCGACGAAGTTGAGACCCTGCGGGTCATGTCGCAGGATATCTGTCGCAGGGGAGCCGGAAGGGGAGCCCCTGCCCCAACCATGGACCCGGAGAACCCAACACACCCTAAGTTTGGGAATGTACCGTACCAAGTTCTCATAGGGATCCCTAACTCAACCAAGCCAGGAGCTTTGTAGGATCTGAGACATGCCAGGAGCTCCACAGCGCCCTCACCGAGTCGCAGAAGGTGCGCCCTGGGGGCTCTTTGGGGTTTGGGGTTTAGGGTTTGGGGTTTAGGTTTTGGTTAGGGTTTAGGGTTTAGGGTTTGGGGTTTAGGGTATCTTCCATCTACACACGGTGGATTAAGGCAGGCGTTGCTGCAGGCCAACTTGTTGAGAAGCTCTAGAGAATCAGATACCCCAGAAAGTCCCTTTAAGATGGGGTTTATGCCTACACAGTTGCGGGGGCATTGTCAATGGGGATCTTTGCTCTCGTCGTCAGGAGTGGCGCGCAGAACTGCTCTCGGTCCTGCAATTGGTGGGGAGCCCATGGGACCATCGCCGCCCACAGAAACGCTTTTAAGCGTTTGTGTGTCATGCACACGTGGGCTGCCGCTTGTGTAAGGCATCGCTGCTGTCGAACGCCTTGATTGACCTGACCAGAAAGATCGAGCAGGCCATGCGATGCCATGATGCCTTCTCTTGCAATTAAAAGCATTGAGAGATATTCTGCACGCCTCTGTGTGAAAAAATGATAGGTTCAACTGAACCACACAGAGCTCGCTATTCGGGACTGGGCCTCGCAGCCTCGCAGCTTCTGTCGTTCTTCTACTGACTTCTCTCTACTTTCTGTGCCTTCGTCACTGAGGCAGCCCCTTTGACCATTGGCAAGAAGTGAACAGTGTTTGCAGTTTCACATACGGTTTCACCCAGTGCCTGGACATCGTCCATGTGCGTAAGCTACACTCTAGCTCACACGTGTGAATATGGCCCAGCCGACTCGGGTCGACCCGCTGAGCCTGCTAGACTGGCACAGAACTTCATTGTGCGGGCACACGTCGCCAAGAATCCACTTGATTCTGGAATGCCAGATCATGCTGCATGTCTCAGGTTGCGAGGCAGCCGCCCGTTCAGTGCGATTTCCTTTGCAAGTGAACTGACCGACACAAGAGATGCTCGGCTTGGCGTGCTCCGGCATGTGCTGCATGGTTCTGCAGGGCAGTCGCGAGAGTGTGAGCCTTGCCCTGCCCAATGAGCCCCCCAACATGTCCGTCTGCCAGCTGGGCGCAGCAAGTCCTGGCGCCCTCGTGCTCACTCGGGCTCAGAGACTCGGTCCAGCCACCATGCAGCGACCCGCGCCGCAGACCATCGGGTCTGAGGAGTCAACCAGCCAAGAGACTCAGGAGGCCGAGCGGGATGCTCATTCACGAGGTCACCCAGCCCCGCCCAGAACAGGACGATTCGTCCACTGAGCTGGGCGGCTTGGTGAGCGAGACGCCAGTCATCTGCTCATCTGCTCAGGGACGAAATCCATCTCCAGAGCAGTTTCAGACGTAGAGGCCGAGCGCCCGACTGAGGAGATTTGTGCCGAGCGGCGCTTCAGCTGCTGGGTTCCTTGCCTCGTTGTCCTCACGCAGATTGTGACACTTGAACGTATCGGAAAGCCACTTCCGAAAGTTTCATTGGTTCACTATTGGTTCCATGCAGCTTTTTAAGACGATTTGTCAGGGGTATGTGGCAGTGGCTGGTCCTGCGGTCGTGGGTGCAATCCTTTTCCTGCCTTTCATCGTCGGGAGCGCCATAGGCGGGTCCTTTTCTCAGGCTTACGATTGCAAGCGTCGCTTCGGAGCGCTTCGTGCCAGGTGCCCGCGGTAGTCTTGGACAGCGAGGAAGTGGACCTGCTTCCTCGCTGGCCCTTGTGCTGCTTGGACAGGACTTGACTTTCGATGCGTAATGTGCTGCGAGTTTGTTGCCGCAGGGCGAGCCGCTCAACACCTCTATACATCTCATGCATCATTCTAAATACGAGTGGGCAGCAGGTGTGCATCGCTGGTGTGTTTGCACCTTCTGTGGGCTTGGCTCCGGGGGAAGAGAGCCACTTGCAGTCTGCTGCTTCTCGGACGCTTGGCAATGGCAACAGCCGTTCTGTTTTCATGGTTTGATACAGTAATGGTGGGACCCAGTTGTTTCGATCCTTGGGTTCGGCAGCCTGGAGTGATGACGGCCAACCGAGGGGTCCTCCTTTGCTGCCGCGTTCTCAACCTTTCTCCAGGGCAGCGCCGAGTTTCAGTCGTTTCTTGAGTTGCAGTTTCTTGCTTTTTGGTTTCTGTTAATCCCATGGAAAAGGTTTCTTGCTGCTGAGCCTGCCAATGCTTCTGGCCCTTCAGTCCTCCTGGAAACTGGAGGATGAGGCCCCCCCGTGGCTTCATTGGCTCTGGGTTCTGACATCCGAATCTGCCCAGACAGCCAGACATTGCCAGACCATACTGTGCAGGGTGATGCGCGTTGCACAGTTTTTGGCTCAATGCAGTTGGTTTTTCAGTTTAAGAAGCACGCAGCCGTTCCACGGGTCCGGCAAGGGTCAAGGGTCGCAGACATCAGAAGCAGTAAGTAGGCGAGTCTCTAGGCGAGTCTCTAGGCAGAAACTTCTTTGATTCAGTGCCATGCAAGTGACGAGACACTGAGTGGTACAACGCTCCGTGCCATGACGCATCAGCGATCTGGTGCTGTTGATGGAGAGGAGTTCATCGAGTTTATGGACACCCAGCTTCCTGGCAGCTCCTGGGGGAAGGCCTGGAGAGGGAAGAGGCGCTCAGGGGATGCTTGCCAAGGTTCGTCACCGGACATATCCAGCGGACCTACCGCTTCTACATGTTCAGAAACGGCGATGGCCACCCAGACGCATCTGTCGCAACTGCGCTGCTTTGATGGTGGGCCATGCGGTATGTTGTGCTGGTGCTTTCGCCCTGCCCAGGGAAGCCGCACAAGACCATGTGGGTGACCGACCTGAACTATGTCAAGAAAGAGCGAGATCGATGTTTGGAGCTGCTCCAGAAAAAGAGCCAAAGGAGATCGCAAGAGACTATGCGCCTCGGATCGACATGCTCTTTGACAGCTGCTCATGTCCATCATTCTCAGGCTTCAAATGGGTTGCCTTGTCACTTCATGTTCGTTTTGCCAGGGTGAAGTTCCAGTCTCCATCCTCCACGCTCCACCCAAGAGTAGGCCAAGTACCACACGGTCGGAATCTCAAGAGATGCTCTCCCGCTCTCCACCTCTCTCTCTCTCTCTCTCTTGCTTTCTCCCTGCTACATCCTCCTGGAGCGACTGCTGCAAAGGGGCCTTGAACCACCCCCCCCCCCCACCTTTTTCCATTTGCGAACCTTGAGGCTTGGTGTTGTCGTCCTCGCGGTTCCTGTCAAACTGAAGCCGCGGTAGTTTTGCCGAGGGGGGAGTTGCGGTTTGGGGCACATGTTGCTTTAGGACTCCAGGCTCTAGGTGGCCCCACGGATATTTCAGGCCTCCCTCGACAGAGCTGTTTGGGCAGTGCCTGCGAAGCAGGTATCTTTCCGCTACTTCCTTAGATTGCTTATTAGAGTTGCGAAAGACTCGTTGAAAGGCGTGTGGCCAGAGCCGAACGCGAAGGTGTTCGGCGTGACAGGCTAGCGGAAGGTGACGGAATGCAGCGGATTTTCTGGTGGGGCAAGCTAGTAGAAATTCTGGCAGCTCTTGAAGGCAACGGGATAATGAATAGTTTTGCTTTCATGTCGCAGCTCAGCCTGAGAGGCCAAGGCGTCAACCTAGCACCTATAGCACCTAGCTCCTCGGAATGTCTGAGACGTTTCCTGGACGTTCCAAGACCGGCAGTTGCGGCATCCGATGGTTCAACCGGTTTGGCCTACACCCGAACTGAGCATCGCTGAGCTAGCCTCCTATGCGGGTTTCCGACAATAGTGGTACTTTTTTTCGGGGGTTCAGGATTAGAGTATGCTGGGGTAGACTGAGGGTAACCCTATTTGGGAAATGCCCATCTAGCCGCATGCCGTCCAAATTCATCCGCTTGAGAGAACCTGCATTTGTCGCCTCGGGCGTCGTCCTTCAGGAAGGCGAGTCGATCGCGGAAGCATATGTGGGCGTGTTTTCCCGGACCGAGTGCTCACACCTCAGAAGGTATGCAGCTCGAAGGTCTGTACCGCTCTCGCTCAAAGACAACCACTGGCTGCGCAAAGCAGTTGCGACTTGCAATTGCAACCCATCGCCACAAGTGATCGAGCTGCACAAGCCCTAAACCCTAAACCGTAAAAGCGCAAGTCGAGAAAGTGTACCAACAAATAACCCTATTAACCCCCCCCACCTTGTACCTTTTTGTCAGGTACACACGCTGTTCCCAGTGGTCGTGGAAGGGGCACGGGGCAGTGCCTTCAGCCTTACTTCCTGGTTTCTCGGACCGCTGGCTTCCGAGGACGGTCCCAAGTCCAAAGAGGTTGCGTTTAGGGCTTAGGGATTTATGGTTCAGAGAGTTTAGAGTGTTGTGGGTTTAGGCGGTTTAGGGTTTCAGTCAGTTCTTGGGGCTAGTTTCGGCTAGTTTTGACACAGTTGCACCAGGTGGGCCGCTGCAAGCTTCGGCCGCTGCAGCACTCGATACCGTTCAAGAACATATCTCGACCGCGATCGGCCTGCAAAGGGGTTTGCTGGAGAGGGCAAGACATGGATGTTCTGAGCATCCTAAACCCTAAGCCCTAAACCCTAAACCCTAAGCCCCAAACCCTAAGCCCCAAAACCCTGAACCCATGGCATGTCGAAGGTCGCTGCTGGTAGCTGAGGTCAAATTGCTCTCTGGGGCCTTTCGTGCGAAGGTGTGGCTCTGATGGCCCGCTGTACCTGGACGTCTACATGCCAGAGGGGCAAGGAGTTCTTTTTTTGTTTCTCAGTTTTGTAGTTTTCAGATTCTCCCTTTTTCTCTCTCACACTGATAACCTGATAATAAAAGCATGTCTAGGACCTTCAGCCACTTTGCAAGAGCCCATCTTAGCAGACCGTGCCGCGAAGTAACATCTTGTCTCCTGGAATGGCATGGCCCATGTGTGCTGTACTGTTGGCAAGCACGATATCATCAGGAGTGCATGGGGAATCCGGCATGCCTACCGTGTTCTTTGTCCATGGCGGCTGGTGGTGGAGTGGAGACCGAACCTGGCATCATGCTTGCTTCTTTGAGTATTTTCTGCATCGACGCTTGACTCCCATCAACGCGCACCCGCTGCAGCAGTTGCTTCTCATGCAGCATCCGGTTGCGTGCTGAGGTGGCTTTGTGCTGATCTCGGTGGGGTATCGCCTTACACGGGATGGCTATGTTGGTTCAGACCTTGTGGCACCTTGGTGACATCCAAAAGATGATCTGCCATCTCTAGCATGCACACTTTGTTTGCCAAGGAAGATGTGGTTGATGGTCTCACGTATGTAATCGACCATTCCTTGGAACTTGGCGTCGACAAGAACAGAGCCTCGGCAATGTGCCCAAGCCGTGTCCGTTGGTGTTGGCGTGGGTTGTGTCAGGCTTCTGATGGACTGACCCTTTTGTGCCGGATCCATCTTGCGGCTCCATTCAGGAATCATTTTGCAGGGCGAGTCGGCTGGCGGTCATTTGGCTGTGCTGGCGTCATTGTTGGTGCCCTCGGGGCTCGTGCCCCTAAGCTGCGTCACGCAAAGTTTTCAAAAAACAAAGAGCACCAGACCTGACCAGACCCGACCAAGACCGACCAGACGCCAACAAACCCCAAGAGCAAGTAAGGCGTGGTGTGGTGGATCTGTGGGGCATCCAAGAGCTCCAGCAAGGTACCCCTGATGCAAGTCGTAGCAATCCGCTGTCTGTCTGACATCTGTTGCATTCTGTTGCAGGATACCGCTCTTCAGTCCGTAGAAACTGGCCGGAAGCATACACCCTCTTCTGTGGTGGCACTCCCGTGGCAAGGCCTGGATGCTTGGCAGCAATACTGCTTCGCACTGAAGCTCAGGGCTGCCATTTGCTGCACATGTCACATGGGACATGTGGAATTCGGATGTGAACAATGGCATTTGCTCATATTTGCTCGTTGCGAGCACAGCCTCAGGCTGCTTTCGCAACTTGTCCACCACCACGCACGTGTCACACAAGCCGTGGCCTCAGCTTTTTGGGCCTTGTCGCGTCATGGCAGCCTCTTGTAACCGTTGCAACCCTTGCGACAGTCCAAGACGAAGGTCCCCACCAATGCTCCTGCTGCATGGGACAGCCGCAACTGGGTCGAACCACTCTTTGTGCATGTGATGCTGATTTGGTCCTCCATGAAAACCCATCAACGGCCCCCACTCCGCATCCTGAGAACGAGGACCCAGTAGTATCCTTTGATCAGTCTTTGGCACTGGCTGGGGCCTTGGAGAACTCGAGTGTGGTCCATCTACTGATGCTGGCAGCTCGGTCGCTTGGCGGCAAAGTGAAGGTTGAGCTGGGTGCCAGTGAGGTGTGGGTACCCGACGCGTTGCTGCATCGGCAGGCAATCGCATGGCTGCTGGGGAGTGCCTGGTGGCATTTGCATCCAGTGGTTGTTGTTCCTTGGCAGTGCAGCTGTGGGGCATTTTGCCAACACATGCTTTCCCTCACACGAGTGTTGTCAGGTTTGCTTCGGAGCGCTTTTTTGCATGGACGTTCGCCCACCAAACGTAAAATAGAGAGGAGCGAAGAACTGCGTTTATGGACAGGTGTGTTGATCTTTGCATGGTGGTGCTTTGTGTGTAGGTGTGTGTGTGTGTGTGTTGTTGGGGGGGGGGGGGGGGGGGCGGGCTCAAAATTCATAGGTGGAAAGTTTTCATATTGTGCAGTCCGATTGCCGCTGACTTCTCGAAGCTCTCAGAATCCGTCACAAGACCAGGCACAGCAAAGCACTCAAGCTTGGCATCCTTCATGGTATGGGATTTACGTCCCCAGAAGAATTCTCTGAAAGCAAGGACCCCAGTACGGTAACCCCTAATGTCGGAAACCCCCATGCCACAAATCGTGACCGGTGCGCACGCGCATGCTTATCCATACGTCCCACCACGTCCTGCCATGCAGCGGAGCGACGATGACTTCAAGGCCCCGGGCTTTTTTTGGGCTTCCAGCAGACGCATCGTTCGGTTGCCAGAGTTGCTAGAGTGCGTTGGCAGGAAGTGCCACCGTTTTGGCTTTTGACGAAGCCTCCGCCATCAGAAGATGGCAAGTCGCAGGATGGTGGCACGTACAGTGTCGCGTGTCGTGCGCAGTCGGTTGTTTTGCTGCTGCTCCAGGCTTCAGCAGATGCCCCCAGTGCTGCACAGCTTTACCAGCAAAGGCGCAAGTTTTGCATTGTTTGTGTGCTTTAGACATCACCCACGCATGAGTGCAGCGTTCACCGTCAAGCGATCCGTACCAGGGAGCTTGCGAAGCTGGATGTCTTGCTGGAGACAGACACGTGCATCCTTCCGCTGGCTCCCAAGGCTGTTACCTGTTACTTCACACTTGCTGCGATCCGTTCGAAACCATCGCAAGCCCAAAGAGGATAAGAAAATGTGCAGACTTGTGCAGGCCGATCTCGGGTCCGCCATTTATGATCGCCACCGTGTGCTGCAGGCCTGTGGGGCTGTTGCGGAAGTAGGGAACGATGTTTCAAGACCGTTGCCATTGTGGGCTTTGTCGGAAAGGGGGGGGGGTGCGGGGCGACGTTGTGTTCAGGTGAGCCTGGGCAGGGAGCAACTCGGCTCACATAAGTGCATTTGCTGGGTACATCTCTACAGGGAATCCGCAAGAGCTGCTGAAGATTCACCGTGACTTTTAGGTGAGGAACTGCCGTGTGTTGGTCGGATACCCGTGTACAAACTAAAAAGCTTTATCGCTGAACTGCAAGTTGCTTGTGATTTCCACAGGTCGTGTGCTTTGCCTTAAAGCAAAAACACAAAAAAATGAATGTGCCAGAGCCGGAGGCACGGCATTCTGCTCTCAGATGCCGGTATCGCCTTCACTTGGGGCGACAACCGGTTTGGCCAGCTGGGCCGGGAGCCCGTGGCCAAGGAAGAGAATGGCAGGCTGGCAGTTTGAGGGTTTAGGGCCGAGGGTGTAGAGCCGAGGGTTTAGGGTTTAGCGTTTAGGGTTTCGGGTTTAGGGATCACAGAGGCGGCGAAGCCTTTGCAGATGAGACGCTTGCGTTTTGGCAGGCCATTCCCGGTGAAGGGCCTGGTTGGTCACGAAGTCACCCAGGCATTGACGTGGTTACCATTGTTTGCTGTGATTGCAGTGGGAATGTCCTCTGGCCACTCAATGCAATGCCATTTCGCGTGCGTGTCCCAAGTGGCTTGGCGCTGGGTTTGGTCGTCAGGTCTCTGCCGGAATGCGCCACTGCTTGGCGCTGGTGGCGCCTGGATTAGTGGCAGTCTCAAAGCAGGAAATGAGATGCTCTCCCAAAATTGGGTGCCAAATTGCTGAGGTCTGGTCATGGGGCCGCAACAAAGCTGGGCAGTTAGGCGTTGGCGATTACAGGCGGGGGTGTGGACATTTGGGTACTTTGGAAAAGCCGATGTGTAAGAGCTTGGTTGTTATTGGCAGGGACCGCACCCAGCCAGTCAAGGTGTGCCACGACCTTGTTTTTTGAATTGACTTTCCGTACGATTGTAGCTTCTATTCTTTTCTGAAGAGCCCGAATGAGCGTCCAAGCGTAAGCCAGGGTGCTGCATTTCTTTTGGGTCTATTCGAGGTCACCCGCCTGTCATGGACGGAGAGGAATCGGGGCTGCAGTGGCTCGGCACCGTGAAGGCTTTCAACAAGAGCCGAAGGAGGATAGCCATAGGTTTTGTGTGGGTTGTGCTTTTAGGATAGGGGCCAGGAATGTTCTTTGCATTTTGCAGCTGCCTGCAATGGCTCGTTGGGAAACCGAGGCTTGGCAACAACAAAGGTGGCCAGATCATCTCTGCGCCCTGACGTGGTTAGTCCAGCTCTGGCTTTCGTTCGTTCATTCGTTCTGATTCTCGCACTCTCGGACAGTCGTGCAGTGTCGTGAGCTGTGTGAAAGTGCAAACGCTTCAACAAGGTTTCAGCCGGATGCCTCAGCTGTGCTGCTGTGGTCCAGGGTGCCGGTGGTGCTCTGTGCACCAGTGCAAAGCTGTTGTGCCACAATTCTGCCGGCGTGTACACCCTAAGGCTGGTGCAGACAGTTCAGTGGCAGCTGCCTTGAGCTCCCACGTCTGGCAGTGGCACTCTCGCACTTGCAGCCATTGACAGCACATGGCGGCGCCGGCTGCATGGCATGTCTGCGCGCCAGGTGGGGTGAGATCTGCGACGGCTTTCAGGTGGCGCTAGATCTGATCGAGGAATTGCATAATTAAGCGCACCACCAGGATCATTTGGTCAACAGCGACAAGTCCAAGAAGAGCAGCATCGCCGTTGTCAAGAATAGGCAACTGCAGAAGATCTTGTTCTCCTGTATTGCTCCAGAGGAGAGCGTCGTGGTTGCGAATTTGTGCTCCATTCCCTGAGCGCAGAGTGTGCAGTCCAGAGGCCCTTCTGTGTCTTCAATGCCCTTGAATTCCGCTCGCAGATGCGGCCAGGCTCGGTGCAGTTTTCACATGTTTGCAAGTGTAGCTCCAAAATGGTGGCGGCTTCTATCTTAGATGTCTGAAGGTGATAGTATATGATCCGGGCTCGGGTTCGCTAGACCCTAGACCCAAAAAAGCCCCAGCCGTAAAACCCCAAACCCAAACCTAAAGCCCTAAGCGAAGCCTAGAAAGAAAGCCAACAAACCTCCACTTCCAGAATCCTTAAGCCTCCGAACCAAAGCACGAAACCCTAAACCCGAACAACGACCCCCCATACCACAGGGCGGGCTCGTCCTGATCATATGTTCAGAATGTCGCTGCCGAATGGTTTATGTGACAGCCCTGCAAGGACGCGTTTCCATCTCATCGACTGGGTGCAAAGTCTTGAACCAGGCCGTGAATGGCTGTGATGCTCGGGGTTGGCTTGCAGTCGACGTTCTGGCACAGGACACGTACACCGACAAAGTCCGAGTCGAAACATTGATCCAGGGTCTGACGTCCATGCAAGAGAGCATCAACCAGGCACGGGCTTTCCCTGCTAGGGTGTTTCGTGGTTTCTTGATTTCGTTTATTCACGAAAAAGCGACATGAAAACAATTTGCTCGTGCAGGTGAGGCTAGATATTGCTGCTCTTGATGTGCAGCACGACAAGCAGAAGGCACCTGACTGCAGAAGTGACGGAGCTGTGGCACGCTAAGCCCTGCACGATCCAGTTGCGTGACACCGCCAGGACGGGGAGGCGAAAGCTGGGGGCGCGATGGACAATGAACTCGACACTCTACAGGCAGAGCAGAGAAAGTTAGACTCAGACTGACATCTTGTTGCAGAAGCTTGAATGGCCCTGGCAGGATACGATTGGAGAGCTGGAGCACGATATCATGGTGCACGAGCGGGAGAGCTCCTGTTCAAGAGGTTCACCGAGATCTCTGAGCTGAGTCTGGCCGCCTGTGAGGAAATCAACGGGCTGACCAAGAGCCTCGAAAGTTGCGATCTTCGACAGGTCCGCTGAACTGCTGTGCAATGCACGTTGCTGTGCACCAAGTGTGGACGTAAACTTGTGCAGGCCCACAATCGCAAGCAGCTGCAGCAGCTGCAGCAGCAGCTTGCATACTGACTGGGTGTTGCACGCTTGTGCCGGTGTCTGTCATGTGTCTCCCAGCCCAACCAAATATCATTCAAGTCATCGTTGCTGCGACACCAAAAGAATAGCACCGGCCCAGGCAAGGCACGTCTTTGCACGACCGGCAGGACCAGGCCAGCTCTACCTTGGGCAGAAAAGGCTGAAGTTTGTGGCATTTTGAGCCTGGGCCGAGGTTTCACTTCAGATCTCGATGGCCCCGAAAGCCGGCGCAGAGAGGAGGTGCTTTTGCCCTTTGAAGAGAGGCTTTAGGGGGGCTTGTGTGGATTGTGTGAATGTCCTGGGGTTGCCAGGAAGCTGGAAGAGCAGCTGGCCGAGGCCCGCTTTTTGCTTCCGGGTCTTCCTTGTTAGAAGGGGCGGCTTAGTGAAGTCCCTTGCCTCGATGGGTACGAAAGCAAGCTCGGCAGGTTGAGGAGTTTGTGCAGGCGAACAAGAACACGCGCGGCCCGGCAGCACCTGTGAAGTTTGCCGAGGGTACATCGATGCAGGGCTGAGCTTTTTGTCGTCTTGTGGCATGCTCGGGGATGAGCCACGCCGGGGAGTTCGGAGGGGTCAAGACACGCAGCTAGCTTGCGAAACGTGAGCATGTGCCCAGGAATGACGCTTCTGGATCAGAGAGCCGAGACAGACAAGGACTACGATGGCAAAAGCAAACTTGCGGCACGACCGCCTCAGCCTTCAGCATCCTTCAGATGTTCCCATGCCTTGCCCTCAGGAGAAGCAGAGCATTGCCGCCCAGCTGACCGACTTGCGCAGGCCCTCTGCAGCAGTTGTGAGAGCTATGAGCGAGGAGAGAGTTTGCGCGATATCATCCAATCCGCTTGGGGGTGTTGCAGCCTGGGGGGGCCGTCGGAGAACTTTGGAGACTAACTGTGTCAGGCGAGAGTTCTTTGTTCGGCATGTGCAGGAAGCTTCCGATGGGGCACCCGATTTCATTTCGTTGTTGGCAACCTGTTTCTACACTTCTCTACTCACATGCTGGAAGCTGTGGGCCTAAGTCCTATCAATCCATGTTCAACCCTCAGCCCATCTCAGCCCTACTTGGAGGCTCATGGTACCTATTAACCAATGATAACTGTACTTATAACCACTTATAAACACCCTAAGTGCCCTAATCTGGTTCTAATTGGGTTATACGTGCAGTTAGTATTGGGTTAAGAAGTACCCTGAACCTCCGAGTGAACCCCGTAAACATCCTCGAAGCCGCGCCCTGAGAGGCAAAGAGACCGTGCGCAGCGGCGCCTGGACATTGTTAGGAGCTGAGCTCACCAGGTGTGCTTGCGGGTTTGCGTGCTTGCGTGTTTGCGTGTTTGCGTGTTGGTGTGTTCGTGTGTTTGTGTCTTTGTGTCTTTGTGTCTTTGTGTGTGTGTGTGTGTGTGTGTGTGTGTGCGCGTGCGTGTGTGCGTGCGAGCGTGCGTCTGCGTCTGCGTCTGCGCCTGCGTTTGCATCTGCATCTGCGTCTGCGTCTGTGTCTGTGTCGGTGTCGGTGTCAGTGTCGGTGTCCGTGTCGGTGTCTCTGTCTGTGTTTGTGTCTGTCGGTCTGTCGGTCTGTCGGCATGAGGTCGTACCTGACGTTTCGCGAACATGTTTGCGGGGTCAGGGCACGTTCCCACGCTCCGCGCCTACCAAAAAGCCAAGACTCCACGGCATTTGTTGTGATGCAAATGTGGACACCCATCTATGCACGCAAAACCGATGTGTTCTAAAGTCTGTTCCTTTTGCTTTCCCAAACATGTGTTTGATACCCAGAGCCTCAACATTCAACGTGAGCGAGTCCCGACACCCGAGGTGTGGTGCTTAAACTGAAGGTAAACTGTCCATTGAGTTTTTGCCCAGGTCAGAGATCTGAGCAAGTCGACACAGGCCGGAGCAGTTTCCGCAATCCACAATCGAGCAAGATGCCACCTCGATGCACCCGGCCATGTGCATCCCAGACTTTCGTGAGATTGCAAGGCAACAAGCTCGGGTGCGTCGGATCTGCTGATCAAGGCCAGGGAGGGATGCGCCCGGTACGTGCACTTTGTGGCGATGATGGGCTGTTTGGGGTGTGTTGCTAGTTGAGGCTCGAGGGTGGGATCCGAAGGAATTCCTCCAAGTTGCTGATGGTCTGCTTCTCTCATAGTGTTGGTTCGTTCAGAAACTTTGTTGCACGTTGATTGCTTTGAGTACGCTGTAGGCTGTAGGCCCGGCCTAGCACTTACTGGGATTCCTATTGTGATATGGAATCTCATACTTAGGGTACCGTACCCCCAAACTGGCCATGATTTAGAGAACTGCCCGGATAGGAAAAACCTCCCATGAGCACTGGCACCTGCCGGCACCTTCGAATGGAGCGGACTGCAGACACGAGCTTTGGCATTTGCGACAGGTCTTGCACCAGCAATGCACAGAGGTGGAAGAGTGCCCTTCCCCATGTGGTGCACATGTCCTGGCATGTCACAGCATGCAACATCTCAAGACCCCATTTCTGGCAGGTACTTTGAGAACCGCAGGGACACCTCAACGGACGACAACGACTTCTTGGCAGCCATGAAGATCCTGGAGATGGTCTGCTGCTTTGCTTCAGTGCCTTGGGCCCTGGCGCGGTTTTCTGCCAAGCCAAGGACAAAGCTTTCCTGGACAGGGTGGAGAACAAGATGAAGGAGAAGATCAAGGCCATGCGATTCCTTGGGTGACAAGAAGATGTCGTGGGCGTCGTGCATCTGCCTGCATCTGCTGGCCCAGGAGCTCTCTGAGGGCCCTGCGCGCAATGGTGACAAGCTCCGAAGTGACCGTGCGCAGATGGTGTGGTACCCGAGCGTCAGCTTGTCGTCATGTGTGCTGTCGTTGCTTGACGATGTAGAAAAGTGTAAAGCGAGGCTTACAGCGGCAATCGCGTAGTCAGTGGATCTCCTCAGGTCCTGATGATGCTGTCCGACTTGGTGCACCTCCGAAAGTCCTGGTGTGAAATACTGCAGGCCGGAAGATGCCAGGAATGTCCCAGCAAGGCTGGAATATGCTTGCCTTCAGGACCATTGGGCCAAAGATGGTATGCAACCAAGATGCAGGAGCAGTCCCATGTGAGAACTCTTTCGACGCCTTCCAGCGCATCTCGCCACTCCGATTGACTTCTGAGGCCTGGACCTGTCCTGCTTCTTCGAAGGCTCAAAGAAGCCATCCCCTTCGGAAATGCCTGCTTGAGCCTCAGCAAGTCTCGGATGTTTAGAGACTTGGCTCCTACTTGACCGTTTCCTTAGGTGTTGGCCGAGGATCCTGACCAGGACTGAATGCAGCATGGCAAAGCACGAGAGACGCAGGTGACAACGGAGTTCCCAAGAACCATTAGAAGAGGACGCTCTGCGCACCTTCAGCATGCAGCTAGCTCCTGTGTTACGTAGAAGGTCGCACTGCCGCACTGCCAAAAGCAACATCGGTGCTTCCCGATGCTCTTTGCAAAGTGCTTCGTTCGCCGCCCGACTCGTTTCGTGCTTCGCAGCGCGCTTCGCCACGCAGCAGGTCGGGATCATCCCCTGGCGGGATTGAGACATCTTCAAAACAAGTTGGACGAGTCTTAAGCTTCAGAAGCCACGCCCCAGAGCGTTAAGCTTTTGAAGCCTCGTGAGGAGCCATCTTCCTTCGCAACGCTGGAGCCTCATGTCTGTGCTACTCGTAGCGACCAGAGCAAAGGCAACCCCTTGTACCCCCCTGCACCCTGTTTATATCCCCCTTACTACCCCCCTTCTGATCTCTTGTACCCCCCCTTCTATCCACAAGAACCCTCCTAATGACCCTTCTTATGCCCCCTCATCCCCCTTAATACCCCTCTCCTAACACCCCCCCCCCCCTTGTCCCCCCCCCCTCATACCCAGAACGAAGCAGAGCGTCAGATTTGAGAGGCCGATGCTGCCGAGCCTTGGCCTCGCCTTCGGTTCTCCCGATGCCGGAGTCCCAGAGCTCCCAGGAACTCCCATGAAATTTCAGAGATCTCTCTGAGTCCCCGTCCCCCCCCACCCCCTCCCCCAAGAAGCCCATCTGTTCGACGTTTTTCTTTGAGACTTTCTTACTCGCAAGGGGGGGGGGGATGTGGGGGAGGGGAGAGTTGATTTCTTCTGGGGGGCTCCCTTTTCGGGCTTTTGCTGCGGATGTTTTTGGGATGCTTCGGAAGCCAAGGATGCCATGGCCGACAGGCGCTAAGTCGGTCAGCCGCCCCGAGTGCTGACCCCGGTGAGCCCACCGCGCGCCGTGCGTGGACGTTGCGCAAGGCCAGTCCTCTCGTGGCATTCATGCTGCCCTACTGATCCAGGTTCTGCCAAAGCTGCTCCCGAGCTCGTTCGTAGGCGGCAGACTGCGAGAGGACTTGCACGAAAGTCCACACGTTGACACTGTGTCGCTATGTCGCTATGTCAAGACCACAGGCAAGGGCATGCCCTCTGTCTGGAGGGCAGCCCGTCTGCTCACAAGAAGCAGGTGGTTCGTCAGGAGGACGAGCTCCAAATTCCGGAGCCAGTCGCTCCCAGTGCTGAATCCACAGGCACCGACATGTACCCACCGGATCACACCAGGACCCGAGACGAGACATGACGAGACTACAGCTTTGGCTGCAACCTGCATTTAGGGATATTTAGGGAGCGTTGCCAGGCTAATTGACTGACTGGTCCGGTGACCCATTGGTTGACGGCAGCGTTTCTTGACAAAACGTCAGGCATCCTGCCCTAGGTGTTTCATTTCCGAGAGGAGGTGTTGACAAATCGAGCATGCAATGCATTTTGAGGGTGAATGCGCAAGACAAGCCGTCACTCGGACAGTCACCACATGTCACCATGTTCCTTCTCCCGTTGCCCTCGAGCCCTCAGGCTTGAAGGTCGAGCAGAGCGAAATCTCTAAAAGAGGGAGAGATAACAAGAGCTCAGCACGAGTTCAACATAGTTGGAAGCATACAGCTAGAGCAGCTAGAGGGCTTTCATTGCAGGGAATGAGGCTGGCATGGCTCGTCCAGAACACCATTGGTGGCCTGCGCCCACTTCAAGGCGTCAGATCAGACGGGCAAGTGACATGCCTCCCACACGACGTCTGCCACGTACGCCTTGCATGACAGAGGCGCGGCGGCCCGCGTGGTGCAGAGTGCCGTGGGCGCGACAGGAGGGTTGGGCCTGCAGCGTGGGGATCTGTTGGCGCTGGTCGGCGGCCAGAGCCCAGCAGCCTGGCGCCCTTAGCCGGAAATCGCCCAGTGATGTCCAGTGAGTCCAGTGGAGATGCCTGGCAATCTCTGTCAAAGTCTTCAGAGTGCCAGGTTCTGGTGCTGCCTGGCGCCATTTCCCAAGAGGTCTGCCGAGAAGCCAGCGACCGGCTTCTGGAGCAGTCCGCTTCCGCAGCAGCTTCAGGCGGCAAGAGATGCACAGTCCAACACATGCTCCCCCCAAAAAAGAAGCCAAACGGCTCTGTTTTTTTTGTTGGTGTTTCAAAGTTTTGTCTTTCATTGTTCATTGCGCAACTCCATGAGCAGCGGATCCCATACGGGTGATTAGGAGGCTCCCAAGCCCGGCGCTTTGCGGAGTGGCGATTGGGCCGCGATCCGGCGGCCTGGTGGCGATTGGTTGACTGGGGCGCGTTCGACCATGTCAGATAGACAGAGCTGTTGAAAGCTAATCTAAGCCCCAGTATGGCATCTCCTACTACTAATTGCTACATATTGCAACAGCAAAGAGACAACTTCCTCACAGTCCTTTGGTCGGAAGGTCCCGGGCTTAGCCCACGTCCTTCTAGACTTGAACCTAATGGCCCAGAGACTTGGTAAATGAAAACGGACTGATGTGAGAAGCACCCTCGAAGAGCTCAACTTCATTCAACAAGTGGTTGCTGACATGATGGAATAGAGGAGCCAGGTGTCTACGACATGTCACGCAAAGCATCTCCGGTACAGAAGCGACTCAGACGTGTTCAGACCCTTTTTCCCGTTCGCTGAGGATGCACCAGCTTCGGACTACACAAAGCTGGGGTACACAAAGACTGACGTTCTCATTCAAGAAGGTGCTGCTCCCAGTCGTTTCTGTTACCTTTGATTGCGCACTTCGCACGATGTAAATCCTGCAGGCTTCCGCATGACGGCAGCGACAGCTGCCCCAGAATCCTATCTGCAGCGCGCAGAGGAGACAACGCGGACCTTGTTGCAGGCCTTTCCTCCAGGCTTGTCCAAACCGGGAGGGCGCACACCTTGTTCTGAAGTTCTTCAACATGGGGGTTTCCGAAATTTGGGATACCCTTTTGGGGGTCCTGTCAAGGGATTCTATTCTATTTGGGGTTTTCAAAGGGTACCCCTATCTGGGAAATACCCAGACATCTTTGATCAGGCCAATTCCCCTTGGACCTGATCAGGGCAGAGCTCGATGCACTGCCTGGGGTCAGCTGCCAGCTGGAGCGCTGCCCCAGCTCAGGGCGCGCCTTTCTGCCCTGCGTCGTGCGGCAAATGGTGCCAGGTGACGTGCCCGGAGAACCCCTTTGATGCTTGTGGCATCTTGTGGCACTAAGCTTTTCGTTGCACCTCTCAGGTGGCCGGCGCCGCGAAGGCAATGTGCACATGGACAGCGTCAGACCTGGAAGCACTCTTTCGGTCAATGTGTGCCCTGGACTGTCAAAGTTTGGTGACTCTTGCGTAATAGTGCAGTCAATGTAGTCGCTTTCTATGTGCCTGCCCTGTCTAAAACCTTGCTACTCACGGCTGGCCTTAACGAGCTGAGGTACTTGCGAGTCCCTGAGGAGACCTCGGGTGGAGAGTTGCTTTTGCATCCGGTCCAGAAGGATGCTCTCCAAAGATATCTGAGCCGCAGCTGATAAGAGGGTGTTTCTCCCCCCAAAGCGATCAAAGTGCTACAATCCTTATGAGAGACCTCCAGAAAAGGCACTCGAGATGTTGTTGTGGACGTGTGGCATCTGTAAGGAATGCGCACTTCTTCGAGACGATTGACTTGCAGAACTTCTACCCAGACAAGAAGTTCTATACGAAGGCCGCTAAGGGAAGCCATATGGGAACCAGAAGGGCAGCCCCGAAATATGGTAGGCATGTCGTAGAAATATGGGCCTTGTATGTAGATTCTTTTTACCTGCGATACGTGTAGGATCCTGGTTTTTGATTTGAATAGAGTTGTTTCCTTGAGCGACACACGGCGAGCCTGCAGGAGATGCTCGACGGCATCCCACCGATAGTCGGGGTCTCGGTTTGTGGCCCTTGACATAGCAGAAGGGCGTTTCTCTATCGGCGCTTAGGTTTACAGTCCTCGTGCCGGCGACGTGGTTTTCATCGACTCTTGGGATGGATGTATTGCCCTTCTCACCTAAGCTTCCGCCTCTTTCGTCTGTAGCTACGTCGATGTCGACAAGAAGACACTGGCAACCATATTCTTTGTGACGCCATTCTGGATCAAGTGTTGGCGCAGCCCAGCGGAACTGTTTGCAAGATCGCCCGTCACGGCGGGTGTGAAGGACGATGTGCGGAACTCTTGGTTGGTTGCCCACTTATGTAAGGCAGCTAAGGGTGCAGAGAAGGGCGATCGAGGAAGTACTGCAACATCTTGCAGGATTGTGCAAGCGCAAGAGCACGACCATCCTGAAGCTCTGCAAACGTCGCCAACAACATCTGCCAGCTCGGTACCATTCCTGGCGAGGTCCGCCAAGGCGTGTGTGCAGCAGGAGTTTATAGGAATTAGCTAAACACAGAAGTGACATAAGTCATGGATCTGCAACGAAAGCTTGCTTGGCATTGGGTGCAAGAAAAACGTGTTTCGGAAGCTGGCTCAAGCGAGATTGCATAGCCCTGGCTGCTCCGCATTGCTGCGCCCTCAGAACAATTGCTTGCAAGGTCGATTCAAGCTCTCGCTCGCTCACCCTCTCGCTCTTTGCATATGTGCATATCTCTCTCTTTCTCTCTCTCCCTCTCTTTCTGCTCTCTCTCTCTCTCTCTCGCTCTCCGTCTCTCTCTTCCTTTGTCATCTGCACGGAAACAGCTCAAAGGTGAAGAGCCATAGAAAGAGGCCATGGGGTATGTTCAATGCATGATTCTCCCAAGACAGCTGCAGTTTGCTTGATGCAAGGGTGGTGCATAGCGCAAGCTCCCGGCACTATGGCGACAGCACTTCCGGAGGCTCATGTGCCATGCTCTCAGAGATATCCGGTCATGTCACCTGTTCAGTTCAGGTAGGCAGCAGTTGCAGACTCTACTGTGCTGAACCTTGAGTGCTCAGGACGCGGAATCCGAAGCATTTGATGACATCCAGCAGCACTGGAAGTCTTGACAAGGCTTGGACCATAAGCAAAGGGATTCCACGCTAGACCTTGCTTGCTAGACCTTCCGACGGGCGCGGGCCTGCAGTTCAGGGCGCCGTGTAAGATGAAAAGGAAGTGGGACATCATGGTTCAGGGTTTATAGGGTTTAGGGTTTAGGGTTCAGGGTTTAGGAGGCTTGTCATGCCCTTACCTTGCAGCTGCTGCTCCCGACGCTGCAAAGAAGCCCTCGTCGAGGCCTGTAGTACACCCCCAAGTCTCCATCGTGCTTGGTCCTTCAGCTCCTGGTGTTCTTCCTTACAGGCTTTCAAAATACCATTCCTTACAACCAGGCCCCTTAGCCCTAAACCCTGAAAGTCAAAATCCTGAAGCCTTGCCAGTCCTGTGCGCGAGAGTGAGGGTCGAAAGAGCACCCGGGCAGTTCTCCAAGCGTTCGGCTTCATCGCCTGCGTCCTCCATGGCTTCGAGCTGGAAGAGTGGCTTGCTTTGGGGGGCCTTAAGGTTGGGCTTTTAAGGTTTTATGGGCGTGTCTGGGAGGGAGGAGGTTGGCGTCCCCGCCATGCCCCTAACATTAACCGAAAGCGGCCGCAACAACTCCCGCTTGGCCCTAAACCCTAAACCCTTAGCCCTAAACCCTTAGCCCTAAACCCTCAGCCCTAAACCCTAGACCCTCAGCCCTAAACCCTAAACCCTCAGCCCTAAACCCAAAGCCACCCCCTTCTCTGACCAATCCCTTAGCCTTGAGGGTTCTCGAGTTTTTCCGATGCAGGGTTGGGATGTGGCTGTTGAGTTTAACGATTAGGGGTTTAGGGTTTAGGATGGTTTAGGGTTTAGGGATCGGAGTTTAGGGATCGGGTTCAGGATTCCCATGTAGGTTTAGGGTGGAAGAATGTGGGGGGTTTAGGGTTTATAGGGTTTAGGGTTAAGTTCTGAAGCTTCTAAAACCCTCCCCTGAAGCCAACAAAAACGCCCAGAATTCTCAAACCGCGACGGAACCGAACCTTTCCTTTTTGGGTTCTCCCATGAGAGTGGTAGGGTTTAGGGTTTAGGGTTTCGGGTTTAGGGTTTAGGGTTTAGGGTTTATGCTCAGGTGGCTTTGGCGGCTCTCGTCAAGGCTCTCGTCCGGGGTCTCGTCCGGGGTCCGCTTCGCCGACTTCCTGGATCTCCGAGTCCAGCGGCTTCAAACGCCGCCCAGCCACTGCTTCAGGACCTGCGAGACCTTAGGTTAGGGTTTAGGGTTTAGGGTTTAGGGTTTAGGGTTTAGGGTTTAGGGTTTAGGGTTTAGGGTTTAGGGTTTAGGGTTTAGGGTTTAGGGTTTAGGGTTTAGGGTTTAGGGTTTAGGGTTGAGGGTTGAGGGTTTAGGGTTGTAAAGCAGGGCAGTTTCATTTGGAATCGCACTTGAGCAGCCTCCGCGGTTCCGTTTGCGCCCACTGTTGAGGGCGCAGTGCCGCGTGCAGGAGAGAATACCAAAGGCTCGTACTCACTGATGTGCTGGCGTGAGACCACGGACGATATCAGGAGAAACTTTGTGGAAAGCAGTGATAGGGCATGAGACAGAGCGTTCCGAGCAGGCATCTGCAGGTTTTTTTCTCCCATATCCTCTCGGCATTTGTTTGGCAGGACGATGCCACACCGTGGCCTCAAAGGCAGCTATGCCCCCCCTGCGTTTCAGCGAGCGCTCATGATGCCGGAGATTCGCAAGTCTGGCGGACCCATGTTCTGCAGCTGAAATTTCAGCTGCACGCCGAGCTGTGAGGGGCAGCCTACCAAGGTCAGTTGGTCCACATGTATTCAGTGCAGGTTTTTCCATGCTGGATTGCGCCCTCCATACAGCGTCCGAGGGTCCTTGAAAACGCATTCCCGGCCTCTTATGCCCAGTAATGCTGAGCCTTAGCAGAAGGTGATGAGACAACGTGAGGACCAGCAAGAGACCATTTTCCATCGGGTATATCTTCCAATGAAGATTCAGAACGTTTAAGCTTCTGGACTTCGGGGGGTGGCCTGAAGACCTCGATTGACGTGTGGCCTTCCGGACTTCCTCCCTGAGTGAAGCCGTTGTGTTGTGCCAAATGTGCCATTAGGGAGGCGCTGGCGCTGAGGTGAGCGCAGGTTCTTGTTTGTGGGCGCCCTGCGCATGTCGCTTGTCGTTACCGGATGATCTTTTGTCGGCTCTGGTGGGGGCGTAGTGTCCTCGCTAGAAGCTCACCTCAGGGCCACCGCGCACTTCTCACAGGGGATCCCTCAACCGATCGCAAACCTCAGCTAGGCCTTGAGCCTCCGAAATCGGAGTCGTCGGGCCCTTGTGAGTTTATTCAAGCTTTATCCGACCTTATCTGCATAGCGTTGGGCCCTGCTTACGATGCAACATCTGGCTGCCACAAACTCTGCAGCGCTTCGTTGGTTTCGGAATGGCGTTGTTTTTTGAGAACGATGCCGGGGATTCATCTGCAGATTCTGTGAGGCTTGTCTTGCAGGAATTTTTACCCATGCCTCCCAAAGGGAGCATTGCGGGGCAGTAGGGGCAGTGAGCCGACTAGAAGAGAACCGTCTGACTGTAGACCCCTAGCTAGCGAGGGCCCGTCAGTTTCGACGAGCTGTGAATTCAGGTCCTCTTCGCCGGCGTGCTGCATCTTATGCTTAGCCGATGGTGCTGGATCACAAGTTCAGTGATGTTCGGTGCCTCCTTGATATGTCCAGATGTTTACAGATATTTACAGATGCACTTGCCATTGCTGTCCAGTCAGCGAAGTCGTTCTCTACTGAACCAGTGGCAGCACCGTCCGGCACGCCTCGGAGTTAAGAACGCGAGTGCACAAAGTCTTGCGTCAGAAGGTCTTGGAAGCATCGGCTGACTTCTTTCAAGATCACCTGTGCTGACGCAGGCGGACGCACTCCTCACTTGGACTTTAACTGCGAGGACGCTGGAGACAAACCTGGTCTTGCCTTTCGGGCACTTCATGGGGATAGAAGCACTAAGCACTTAAGGGTTGTTTGTACATCTTTCAGAGTTCCAAGGATGAAGCGGCCTCTTTGATCCTCTTTGTATGATATGAAGTTATCTTCGATAGCTGTCAGGCGATGTCCATAAGACCCCCCTACATCTTCGCAACCCATGCTGCAGGAGAGTTCTCAGCCTTCCATGCGCTGAAGGAACCGACAACGGACGAGGCAAAGAAATACTCGTTCACCGGACAGAAGCCCGTGAGTTCCACTTGTGTACAATGGGAAGCTGCAGCTGAAACGTGCGCCTGCATGCCGGTACCAGCACATCTCGCGTGCCAGATGCCGCAGCTCAAAAGGGGCTGGCCTGGCCAAGTGACACTGGAATTGTTAAGAGACAAATTGCCCGTTTGGCAAAGAGTTCCTGGATCTTCTTTCCCTCGCTTTGCATGAAAATCACGCCTCAGAGCCAACGCAGGAGCCAGATAAAACAGGCGCATCGCGAGCTAACAGATGGTGCACAGGGGGGTCATTTGGAGGTTTACGGCAATAGGGGACCCTAATATAGACCCCAAATAGTAGGATTTCCTGTTTATAAAGACCCCAATAAGGCACCCCTAATATCGGAACCACCATTTGACTCTCCCGCAGCCTTGCGTGGAGGAGATTCCATATGGTTCTTCCATGCTCTTTCATGATTGCTATCACCCGAAACCCTAAACCCTAAACCCTAGACCCTAAACCCTAAACCCTAAACCCTAAACCCTAAGAACACAACAGCAAGAATGCCGGACATCGTGCATCCGAGGACCCGGCCTTTCCGCATGCAGTCAAAGACTTTGCGCCTGTGGCCGCACAAAAGTGGGCAGGCATGCATGGGGCTGTTTTCTTAGCATGTGCGCGGCCTGGAGACTGACACCGCATGCCCCAAGCCCCACGAGTCTCATCAGCCAAGATGCAGACAGACTTCGTGATGCGATGTTCTGCCAAAAAACTCCGAGTGCATGACGGTGTATGATTGAGCAAGGTTGCTCCGCCCGGCTTCAGTCGTCTTTCGCTCCAGACTTTCCTGCAGGCAGATGCCAGTTGCTGGTTTGGTGTTGGTGATGCGGATCAGT